GACTGAGGGCTAAACATTGACGCCCCCAACTACTGATTGCAGGGGAGTCGATCTGAGCATCTGAAATATTGATTCACGGCACCGGGTAGCGAAGCCGGCACTATTATTATAATTCTCAATTCATGGATGACATGGTGTCAACCAATATTGTGAACGATTATTGCTGGCCTAGCATTCTTAATAATTCCCACCCCCTTTTGAAGTTGAAGTTTTTTACCCTTGAATTTGAGTGTAAAAGGTATGACTTCTATTTGAGGAAACACGGTACTTGATGAGTGCCAAGCCGCGGTGTCTGGCCATGCTGGAAATGTTTGCATTTATGGGCTCACCACACCTCAGTAAGTGGATAAGGACAAGGTGCAGAGAAAGGATTGACGGCATCAAGATATCCGTCCTGGGATCCAACTGCATTTAGCCCTGCCCCCAGTGAAGGTAATACTTGCTGGTACTAGTGTGGGTGGCTAAAATTTAATCAGAGTGGATCTGATATACACTTCACTAGAACCATTCATTACCCAAGAGTTGATTTAGCCTTCAAGCAGCTGAACCTGTTGCAAACAGACCCGACACTATCTGGCACAAGTGTACCCATCAACTGAACTAGGTGAACGGCATACACGTGCGCGCATACATACACACGCACGCACACATACGCGCGCACACTCTCTCTCTCCCTCCTTCCTTCTCTCTTTCTTTCTTCAATTCTTGGTCTCCTGAGTCAAGTAACCCCGAGCAATAAACACCAAGGTTTATGTTGTTGCGACTCTACTTGCGAGTACACTGCAGCATCAAGGAACCTAAGCACGTGTGTGTGTGTGTGTGTGTGTGTGTGTGTGTGTGTGTGTGTGTGTGTGTGCCAGCTAGTTTGGTTGGTGGGTACACTTGTGTTTGATTGTGTTGGGTCTGTTGCCAACGGGCTCGGCTACTTGAAGGTGTAATGTTGTACCTGCCACCTTTGTTGGTTCCAGGGTTCATATACTTTCTATTTGAAGTATACATACCTGTTTACCATGGACTGCTTCTGGCTAGATTAACTCTTGTGTAATCAATGGTGCTAGTGAAGCTTATATTAGATCCACTCTGATTTAGCCACCCACACTAGTAGCAAGTATTACCCTCACTGGGGGCAGGGGTAGCTGCAGTTGGATCCCTGGACGGATACCTTGATGCCGTCAATCCTTTTTTCTGCACCTTATCCTCGCCCACTTACTGAGGTGTGGTAAGCCCATAAGTGGAATCATTTTCAAGTCCACCGAGAGTTTTGGGGATTTCAGGGGGTGTCGGTCGTTGGGTGGTGCCAATTGAGTCATCTTTCCAAGATTCCTTTTGAGTCTCTCTCCCCTCTCCCGGGGAGACCCACGTGACCAGTTTTGGCAGTGAGCAACAAGTACTAGTGTGTGTGTGTGTGTGTGTGTGTGTGTGTGTGTGTGTGTGTGTGTGTGTGTGTGTGTGTGCCAGCTAGTTCGGTTGGTGGGTACACTTATGCCAGATAGTGTTGGGCCTGTTGCCAACGGGCTCGGCTGCTTGAAGGTGTATTGTTGTACCTACCACCTTTGTTGGTTTCAGGGTTCGTATACTTTCTATTTGAAGTATACATACTTCGAAGTACCTGTTAACCATGGACTACTTCTGGCTAGATAAACTCTTGTGTAATCAATGGTGCTAGAGAAGCTTTTATCAGATCCACTCTGATTTAGCCACCCACACTAGTACCAAGTATTACCTTCACTGGGGGCAGGGGTACCTGCAGTTGGATCCCGGGACGGATACCCTGATGCCGTGAATCCTTTTTCTGCACCTTGTCCTCACCCACTTACTGAGGTGTGGTGAGCCCATAAGTGGGATCATTTCAAGTCCACCCTAGTTTGGGGATTTCAGGGGGTGTCGGCCGTTGGGTGGTTCAATGGCCAATTGAGTCATCTTTCCAAGATTCCTTTTGAGTCTCTCTCCCCTCTCCCGGGGAGACCCACGTGACCAGTTTTGGCAGTGAGCAAGTACAAGTGTGTGTGTGTGTGTGTGTGTGTGTGTGTGTGTGTGTGTGTGTGTGTGTGTGTGTGTGTGTGTGTGTGTGTGTGTGTGTGTGTGTGTGTGTGTGTGTGTGATGTCACTAGGGACCCTAACTAGTCTACCGGTATCTCATCGGCTCAATGTTTGGTTCTCTGGGCTTTTGGTGATGGTATTCTCTTCTTGATGACACAGTCATGTTCCTTTGTTGCTATGGCGTATGAGACAAAACAATCTTATCTCTCTACATCTGATATTCTTCTATTATTTTGCATTCTGCATCAGGTGCCGAGTCGCGAGATTGATAAGTCAGAGAGCAAATTCTGGACCGAATGGAATAGAGAAACAAAACAGGTGAGTGAGTGCTCTGTTGTAGTGATCTCTTGAAGACATGGCTATCTCTTATTGATGATGCAGTGACGACCTGTTGATGACATCATGGGTACCTAGTGTCGATGTCATGATGATCTGTTGATGATGCCATGGTTATCTATTACTGATGATTGTCAAGATAATGTTGATGACGTGGTCGTTGACAGTGCACATTGATGCTAGACACACAGTTTTCCGCAATATTTGGCACGGTCTTCCAACATGTTCCGTCGTTTCCAGGTGTGTTCGTGAAATTCCGCTTCTTGTTGTTGCCTCTGCCGTGTGTTCATGCAATTTTGCTGTTGTTGTTGCCTCTGCCGTGTGTTCATGCAATTTTGCTGTTGTTGTTGCCTCTGCCGTGTGTTCATGCAATTTTGCTGTTGTTGTTGCCTCTGCCGTGTGTTCATGCAATTTTGCTGTTGTTGTTGCCTCTGCCGTGTGTTCATGCAATTTTGCTGTTGTTGTTGTCTCTGCTGTGTGTTCATTCAATTTTGCTGTTGTTGCCTCTGCTGTGTGTTCATGCAATTTTGCTGTTGTTGTTGCCTCTGCTGTGTGTTCATGCAATTTTGTTGTTGTTGTTGCCTCTGCTGTGTGTTCATGCAATTTTGTTGTTGTTGTTGCCTCTGCTGTGTGTTCATGCAATTTTGTTGTTGTTGCCTCTGCTGTGCGTTCATGCAATTGTGTTGTTGTTGTTGCCTCTGCTGTGTGTTCATGCAATTTTGCTGTTGTTGTTGCCTCTGCCGTGTGTTCATGCAATTTTGCTGTTGTTGTTGCCTCTGCCGTGTGTTCATGCAATTTTGCTGTTGTTGTTGCCTCTGCCGTGTGTTCATGCAATTTTGCTGTTGTTGTTGCCTCTGCCGTGTGTTCATGCAATTTTGCTGTTGTTGTTGTCTCTGCTGTGTGTTCATTCAATTTTGCTGTTGTTGCCTCTGCTGTGTGTTCATGCAATTTTGCTGTTGTTGTTGCCTCTGCTGTGTGTTCATGCAATTTTGTTGTTGTTGTTGCCTCTGCTGTGTGTTCATGCAATTTTGTTGTTGTTGTTGCCTCTGCTGTGCGTTCATGCAATTTTGTTGTTGTTGTTGCCTCTGCTGTGTGTTCATGCAATTTTGCTGTTGTTGTTGCCTCTGCCGTGTGTTCATGCAATTTTGCTGTTGTTGTTGCCTCTGCCGTGTGTTCATGCAATTTTGCTGTTGTTGTTGCCTCTGCCGTGTGTTCATGCAATTTTGCTGTTGTTGTTGTCTCTGCTGTGTGTTCATTCAATTTTGCTGTTGTTGCCTCTGCTGTGTGTTCATGCAATTTTGCTGTTGTTGTTGTCTCTGCTGTGTGTTCATGCAATTTTGTTGTTGCTGTTGCCTCTGCTGTGTGTTCATGCAATTTTGTTGTTGTTGTTGCCTCTGCTGTGTGTTCATGCAATTTTGTTGTTGTTGTTGCCTCTGCTGTGCGTTCATGCAATTTTGTTGTTGTTGTTGCCTCTGCTGTGTGTTCATGCAATTTTGTTGTTGTTGTTGCCTCTGCTGTGTGTTCATGCAATTTTGTTGTTGTTGTTGCTGTGTGTTCATGCAATTTTGTTGTTGTTGCCTCTGCCGTGTGTTCATGCAATTTTGTTGTTGTTGTTGCCTCTGCTGTGTGTTCATGCAATTTTGTTGTTGTTGTTGCCTCTGCTGTGTGTTCATGCAATTTTGCTGTTGTTGTTGCCTCTGCTGTGTGTTCATGCAATTTTGTTGTTGTTGTTGCCTCTGCTGTGTGTTCATGCAATTTTGTTGTTGATGTTGCCTCTGCTGTGTGTTCATGCAATTTTGTTGTTGTTGTTGCCTCTGCTGTGTGTTCATGCAATTTTGTTGTTGTTGTTGCCTCTGCTGTGTGTTCATGCAATTTTGTTGTTGTTGCCTCTGCTGTGTGTTCATGCAATTTTGTTGTTGTTGTTGCCTCTGCTGTATGTTCATGCAATTTTGTTGTTGTTGTTGCCTCTGCTGTGTGTTGTGTACCTGTATGTTTAGTTTTTCCTACAATGCCACTTCAAGATGCCAGCACAGTCCGTACAGCACGGTGCTGGTGCTGGTGGTCCTCCTCCGTCACTACTAGTACCCCCACCACCTATGCAGCAGCAGCAGCAGCAGCAACGACAGCAGCAGCAGCGACTCCCGCCACAGCAGCAGCAGCAGCAACTCCGCGCGTAAACTGTAAAGCTGTCACCGTTGCCGTTGCTGTTGCTGGCCTCTTGATGGTTCAGCGTGTGCTGTGCTCTGCTGTGCTGTGCTCTGCTGTGCTGTGCTCTGCGTGCACTGCGCCAAGCTGTTTGGTCCGCAGCTGCCTGCCGTCTAGCCCTCCCACCCTACCTCCGTGGAGGCTCTCTCTCTCTCTCTCTCTCTCTCTCTCTCTCTCCTGGTGGTGATCCTGTTCGAACATATGCTCCTCTCTCTCTCTCTCTCTCTCTCTCTCTCTCTCTCTCTCTCTCTCTCTCTCTCTCTCTCTCTCTCTCTCTCTCTCTCGCTCTCGCTCTCTCTCTCGCTCGCTCTTTCATGTTGTGACCATTGTTCTTGCTGTTGTTGTTTTTTTAATTATTATTATTATTGTGTCCAATGAAGACTTGTTCCACAACTGTCAAACACGGATAATCTGTAGTGCCAAGAATGGTGTATACCCTAAGCCGCTCAGTGCAGCACGTGAGTTTCTCAAAATGGTCATATCGGACTAAAATGCCAATCAAAATCAGGGGAAACGATGAAAAGGGAAATTAGAAGACTGTCTAAAAGGCGAAGTATGTACACTGATTCGTTCAAAGTGTGTGCCAATTTCTATACACGTTGGCGCTATGTACAAGTAGAACTTAGCAAAACAAAAATACATGTAAGCCCATTGATACAGCAGAGAGTTTTGGTGCTGGGATGTAGCACTGGACACCTGTCATTGGAAATTGTGTTTACCATGCTAGAAATGCCAACATGCTAACTCTGCTCAACGCAGCAAAACAAAAAAATTAATAATAAAATAAAGATTGCAGCATCCGTTGGCCTCTATGTGCATTGTTCGAGAGTTGGTACTCGAAGTCCACAACAGACACAGCCTCTGTTCAACCTTTCTTAAAACTCTCTACCTAACTGTGGTCAATAGACGCGCTACCCATGGAGAATGACGGTACGTGCACGATCAAGGTCCCTGTGCGAACATCAGTAGCGACTCTTTGGCTCGGTTTCCGATGAGAACGCCCATTTCCAGCAGGCCGTCGATCACCGCCTCCAGGGCGCCGGGCGCTGTGCGCGGCACTTTGTCCGGGTCGATGCGAGACACTGCTTTCTCCATTGCCAGTAGCTGATCCTCGCTGAGCTGTTGGCCGTGTGCGGATTTTGGCAATGCTGTGTTGTTGTACACACCCACATCCATGGCCAACTCCAGGTAGCCCTGGCAGCAGAGGACAACGAGAACGAAAACGCGCGCAGTGAGAAGAAAGCAGGCACGCACGCATGCGTGTAGTATGAATGCATTCGAATACATAGTGCTGCTCGTCACAAGAAGGGGTTCCTGGATAGATTCCCATGCAATAAGCAGGTCAGGCGGACGTCAACACAAGATAAATTCATTCATGGCTACCAACCCCCATCTGTAGCCAAGGCAACTCACCTCCCCAATCACCAATGTTGGGTGGCGCAGCGATACGTTCTTGAGGTGATTGGGTATGATCAGGATACCCTTGGCCATGAATTCTAAAATTCAACACATAAACACACACACACACACACACATACACACACACACACACACACACACATACACACACACACACACACACACACACACACACACACGAAACTCACTCACAACCAATACAATCATGCACACAAGTCTTGGACACCAGGACTCTGTAATGCATGCACCTGTACTGTAAACAAACACATTGTTCTCTCTGTGGACAAAGGGATAATGTAGCAATTCTCTTACCATCAGCGTTGCTGAATGCGGAGCTCATCAACTGTTGCATCAATGCATGCACTTTCCCCATCTTTGCAGTAAAGTGACAGACAGCGATATGCACACACATACACGCACACACACACACACACACACACAGGTGACTACACAGACCAGTGAGGATACATGTCCAGACATGAATTCCATGCCCAGAAATAAATTTAAAAATAAATTTCACGGTTCGCGTGAGACTCGGCTGGAAGCCCAGTTTTCCGCATCCGTCGTGGGAACGCCACCACCCTCTAGGATCAGAAAGAAGAGAAACAATGTCAATAATTATAAGAAAAGTAAATGCCCAGTCTCCATGATCTGATCGATAGAGAAGGTTTGGATAAAGTAACGGTGGTAAAGATTCTACTAAAGACGCACCTGGCAAAATCAACTTCCTTCCACTGCAAGTAGGTTTGGAGGATGGCGGCATCAAGAGTACATAACTAAGAGTGAGCAACTCGACGATTCCCCAGCCCACGGCGGATTTTTTTGTGACATCAGTCTTTCGCCGCCCTTCGACTCACTGATGCCATCATGCGTAGCCAGAGATCAAAGTACAGTTGCGCTCACTGAAATCCGACCCAAAGTGCGAAACTGACACCCTGGCCTGGACCAGCTGTTCCGATTACATCACTGTACTTGTACATGCGCCCGTCCAGACGCATCCGTACCACTTCCAGGGCCAAGTCAAGGGCCGTGCAGGTTGAGGACACCAGATATGCACTCTGGGTTGGATTTCACCGAGCACAACTGTACATGTACAAATAATTTGTACATGTACAGTTAGGGCAGCGGAAGCAGAACAACGAGGACATAATTATGTCCTGAACCTGATGAACTCATACCGTATCTACAAGGCAAGTGCTGGAAAGCATACGCACTTGATCATACTTCTGCCAAAGAACGCCGAAGAAAAGAAATTCCGCCGTGGGTGAACCCATCGGAGCTCGAGATAGGAGTTGCACACTCTTGGTTATGTACTCTTGGCAGCGAATAACAAAACCTATGAATAGGTTTTTGCTGACCGTTGTTATCACTTACATCGACATCGCCGACAGTGGAATTGTGTAGCTCCACGCCATCGACCCTGTACAGTGCACAATACACACATACATACATACACAGAAACGATTGAGTGCACAGAAATATATACACAGTACAACACCTTGCTGAATGTCGGCGTTCCTGCCCTATTCTAGCTTATTGTATCCAATGATTGCAAGAAATGGCACAAAAAAAAACACCAAGCTCAGCGCCTTGTCACTCCCACCGTTGCTTTCACCAATGACGCATACTGTGAATGTGTGCAAGAATCTGCCGGCGGACGTCAATTTTTCCTTCAGACCTTTCCCGTTTCAACTTGCCCAAACTTACGAGCCTTGTATGAAGCCAGTCTAGACCACCTACCTTGCTGTGGAGAAGTTGAGTGACAGCAACGCCATCATGCCATCCGGAGTGGAGATGTTGGTCAGCCATGCCGTCATGCCCACTGTGCACGTTATCACCATGTCAAATGCCTCCTCGAACTTCTTCTCCGGCAGCAGCTGCGACGGGGTGGTGTCAATGAGGACGTTGAACGATGCTCCGAACTGTACCCTCATCTCGTTAGCCGTGATCACCATGCTACTGTTGAGCAGGGACAAGTTGGCATAGATTGGTAAGTGGCCAAATTTCTTCAGCTAGTGGAATACAGGAGCAAACGCAAGAAGCAAACCAGGACAGAAGTTCGACGGCACTCGTCTCAAACGTCATGCGTATCATGTGCACTTCCGGGTATTCATGCGCATGCACATTGACACACACAGACGCACACACACACACACACACACACACACACACACACACACACACACACACACTCACACACTCACACACACACTCACACACACACACACACTCACTCACACACACAGTATCAAATATACTCAAACGCAGCAACATGGTGACTCACCTGTGGGACGTATTGATCATAGTAGGCGTCGTCTGCAAATTTATTCTGCACAAGATGATACCAACAATGACAACAGCAGCAGCAACACCACCACCATCACCACCAACAACAATAGCAGCAGCAGCAACAACAACAACAACAACAACAACATGAAGCAGCAGTAACCACAGGCAAAGAATGAAGAATTTCAAAACACAACAGCACACAATGGAAGAAGGCTTTTAAATAACTGTTCATGGGGAATAGGCTACCCTAGTCACCAAACAAGCTATTCTGAATTACAGTAAAACCTGTAAGTAAAGACCACCGTGACTAGCGGCCAGTCTGGTACTACAGTAAAACCTGTAAGTAAAGACCACCGTGACTAGCGGCCAGTCTGGTACTACAGTGCTGTCGGTCGCCGACGAACTGGGGGGTCAGCCTCCTAGCCTAGACCGTTCTTATTTCCATGTATTACAGCCTATGGGCAGTTTAGTCACCGTGTATACATTGGTATGCTGTGCTTGGTAAAAATTCTAGCCTGGTCGTTCTTCGGCGCCCGACAGACAGTACTGTACAGACCACTTCGCCAGGCACGGAGCCAGGCACGGAGCCAGGCACGGACGGTCCCACATTCATATTATAGCTGTGCGGTGCAAACCTCTAACTAAGGACCACCTGCCACTAAAGACCGCTTTCTCTGGCCCCAAGGGTGGTGGTTAGCTACAGGTTTTACTGTGTACAAAGGACATTGGAAGTCAGTACAATGTGACTGTGTAGCTTGCCACCGGAATTACAGTTGTGCTTGGTGAAATCCAACCCAGAGTGCATAGCTGGTGTCCTCAACCTGCACGGCCCTTGACTTGGCCCTGGAAGTGGTACGGATGCGTCTGGACGTACACATGTACAAGTACAGTGATGTAATCGGAACAGCTGGTCCAGGCCAGGGTGTCAGGTTTGCACTTCGGGACGGATTTCAGTGAGCACAGCTGTGCTACATGTACAGTAAGACAAAGTCAAACACTTTCCCAGCACGTCAGCACCTACTCACCGTTGGGAAGTTTCCGTGCACCAGTCCGCTCGCTAGGATGGCAGCTACAAGAGAGCTGAATGTCCCGCCGGAGAGGAAGAGAGAGATGTCATGCGGACCACAGCCTTGCTGCACTGGGAACGGCTGGGCTGGCGTCGGCAGGAACGCATGGCCTTTGTACAGCAAGTATCCCTGCGGACACAACAAGAGCATTACACCAGCTATATAACATTCATACGGTTGACAGAGTTGCAGCTATAATAATCTCGTAGAATCCTAAAACCTGATTGGCGTGACTGGAATGGCGTCCAAACTTTGGGTTTCTACTAAAAGCTGGATATCTACGTACACTCGTATGGTACAGAAATGCAGTGTAACCTAGTAAGTATGCACACCATCATTAGTTAGTCAGACCGATTCCACCGGGAAGGATGATGCATGCTTGTGAGGAGCAGCACGGAAAACTCGTGCCACAGAAAAAACATTACGTAAGAAGTGCTACGGTTCACGTGATGTTGGTGTTACGATTCTCGTGCACGTGCATACGACGGCTACTTAACTTAGTACAACATGTACTGTGCACAGTAGTTACCGATTTTCGGGAGTAAAAGCCGCAATCGTGATTCACCCGAAAAAACAGTCAGTGAGGCTTCTACTACGATGGTCAAATAAATGCAGGGATATACAGGGAAGATGTCTGTATGTCGGGACAAAGAACCTGGTTGCGGCTGGTATACTCCAGTGCGGCATATACTCCAGTGCTGCATATACTCCAGTGCGGCTTATACTCCAGTGCGGCATATACTCCAGTGTGGCTAATACTCCAGTACGGGTTATACTCCAGCGTGGCTTATACTCCAGCGTGGCTTATACTCTGTAAAATACGGTAGATGTGCATGCACTTTCTTACATTTAGCTGCACTTCTGCCGAGCAGTACTGCTTCCAGATTCCGGGGCTGGACAGCGACAGGTTGAGCGCAAAGTCTTGGCAGCCGGGAATGCCGAATCGCGTGCAGTTCTTGTAGGAGATGTCTATCAACACAATCACCATAGCCATCGCCAACACAACAAACCAGGGATGTCAATGACAGCATGTGAAGTACAAGGTACTTCAAGTAGAAAAGTTAACCATAGACAATCAAACAAGTAGGGAAATGCCTTATGCATTAACGGGTACTACCGCAGTATAATACGCACTTCCAGTTGTATACAAAGATCACATACAGTCAGACCTCGCATAACCGCACAATGATCCGTTTTCCACAAAAAATATCCGGATAGGCGAGGGAACCGGATAATCGAACACACATACTGTATGTAAGCACGGTATATGCTGTACATTTGTAACCAACTACTTGTATTTTCTTCCGGATGGCGAGGGATCCGGATAAACGAGGACCGGATAAGCGAGGTCTGACTGTACATATTATGTCACGGAGAAGGAGAATTTGTCAACGCTGCCACTGTTCAACTTTCTACTCCGTCCACTCCTGTTAGCCTGAACATGCAGCCCGGCTAGCTCAGTCGGTAGAGCATGAGACTCTTAATCTCAGGGTCGTGGGTTCGAGCCCCACGTTGGGCGCTTTCTTTTTCTCTTTTTTCTCCCTGGCAATTACCAGAGCATTGTACCAAGAGTACATAAACCAGAGTGTGCAACTCGGGATGGTTCCTGTGGGAGCGTAATTCGTGCACTACGTCATTTCTGACGGCATGGTAAGCCACAGGTACGGTGAAAAGTTGCGTAACCAGTCGCGGTGGTGCAGTTCACTGAGTTTGTCCTGATTTCGGTTTTTTGAGACGGATAGCCTGGTGACTTTACTTGTCGGTGGATGTACACAGTCACACAAAACACCGAAATCCTGAAACAGGACGTCTAAAATCAAGCAAACTTGGCTGATTTCCGGGCTATGAAACATGAAAATTTGAGCTGTACGGAAGTCGCGGCTTGGCTGATCTCATCAGGGTGACGTAGTGCACGAACTGCGCTGTTTCAGATCTGATATGCACAGTTGCACACTCTGGTTTATGTACTCTTGATTGTACTGATATCCTATCCCTGTTTCCGGCTTTCTGGAGACAACTTACTCAATCAAAACTATGGTGTACGCGCACAATTTTAAACTGGGTGGGCGCTTGCAAGTAGGCATACCGTAATGTTTCGGGCGGAGTATCCGCCATTAGCACCAATAATTTTATTTATTTTGGACTACATCTCTGGCATATGAACACGGCATATGGATCTCGGTGCAAGTCTAGCACGCGTCCACTCTGACCTGGAGTGTGAAAGTGACGGCTGCTAGTGAGGATACGAAATGACGTCAAATCCGCCTTATATGGGAGCTAGCTGAGCAGGAAAATACCCATTTATGGGTTAGGTAACTTTGTGTACAGAAACCCTATCATATAGAAGAACATTGAGTGGCAAACGTACTACGAGTATGTGCTGTGTATTGTGTATCCTCTATTTTAATAGTGATACTTACATGGAAGGTACTTTTTCAGCATGGGAGTCAGATCACTCAGGAACGTACTGATCAGAGAAGTCAACTGTAAAACAAAGTAGAGAAAACAAAGGGAATGGGAAGAGAAACTAGCGACAAACAGTACGTAAGCTATCACTCACACTGAATTATCCTCGCGGTGGTGGTGGCGTGTATGCAAGTCGTATAGGTTGGCCGAGAGCACATTTCGGAGTAGTGGTGTGACTGATATTGGGAGAACTCTGGGAGGGCCTGGACCTCCATTGTGGTCCGGGATTGCAGGTGGGGCAGATCAGCAAGTCCTCTCTGTAGGCCTTACGGCGGCATGTACATGCTACACTGTACGTGCATTCTACATGTACATGTACATCATGCAGTAATCCTGTACTCACTTCACTCAGTCGAGTGGCAGTGAGCTGGTATAGGGCCTTCGGTGTGACACTAGTGACTAGTGCACTCCGGTTCTAACATCGATTTTTCAGTCCCCCAGCTGTAAATCAAGGCGGGGCGCGCTCGCGAGACCGAGCGGAGCGTTCTCGTGGTACTTTCCGTGTCAAGCCATGAGAAAGGCCTGTGGCCCGGGGTACATCTCCCCAACTGTGTAAATCAAGGTGGGGTGCTAAACAGTGCGGGGGGGGGGGGGGGGCTCTCATGGTACTTTCCAGTACATGTAGCAAGCTATGATATCGACATGTGGGCTACATGCACACGGTCCCATCTGGACTAGAGAGGTATCGACCCGTGGGCTGATAACACACCCTGCCAGGCTAGGCAGAAGGTAGGCTGATGGCACACTGTCCAGTATCATACCGGCACTAACGCACTACTCACCTCTCCCGACGCCGCCTCACTGGCATCCTTGTTGATGTCCTTGCGCAATGCACCGACGTCGATTCCACTCCTGCGCCCAGCACCAACACACAATGCAGAACAGAGCGTTCCAGCCAGCACTGAACTGAACATGATCTGCTGGGCTTATCAGGTGACCGTGTTTTCCTAAGTATATAAGCCGCACCCAGATTTTTTCGGCACAAAATACAGACACATCTACCCTGTTTATCACTGCTAGTTTGACCATTGTACTGTAGGGGTAATATAAGCCGCATCGACCTTCTAGTTGTACCTCTTGTGTTTAAAAAGTGTGGCTTATCATGTGACTCGGGAAGTACGATACGTTCACAGGCAACAGCAGTGTTGCATTCCCAGACGAGCAGGATGGCATGGTGCTATCTGATCAGCAAGGTTATATGCATACCATACTCACATCCCATCTCCAGTAAACTTGATCTCCAGGTTGCTCTCTGCACCAGCCTCCAACAGAGTGAAGTTCCAGATCCCGTTGCTGCCCGGGTCTAAATAGCAAGCGAGAAAGAAACAGCAGAGATGTGTTTTGATGCGATGGATAGATGATACGATCAAGGCAAACCAAGCTGGCACTGCAACATCTGCACGCCCTAGCTTGGCTCATAGCGTTATCAAGAGTACATAACCCCGATAGTGTACAACTACCTGCACAACCTCTACGCAGTGCTGCGATGGCAGAACTTCACATCGCGTGACATGGTTCAATAGGCTACACTGGCAAACAGTGCAAAGTGACCACAGGAGAGTTGAAACCAAAGCAGGTTTGCGTACAACCCTGTATCTATCATGCAGCAGGGGGTGCAAATAATGTGTATGTGAAGTTCTGCCGCCGCAGCCTCCATAGCTGGAGTTGCACACTCTTGGGAGTTACGTACTCTTGGTAGGACGTAGGATCATGGATAAACTCTGCACAAGTGCATCACAAAAATTTCAAATTTCGATCGCACCATATTTTGTCTTTTGTCTTCAACTTCGATACTCACTACGTCGAACCTCCGAGGGACTTCGGGCAATTTCGACATGATAACCAGGGTTCTCCTCAAACCGTGGAGCCCTCATTTTTGAGAATCGGTGATGAAACGCCAGAGATGCAATTGTATTTGTTAGTTTGTTGTGCACTCTTGGCTAAGCAACTCACGCATGGAAACAGCGACCCTGACCCACATCGGGTTAGTAACTCACGCATGGAAACAGCGACCCTGACCCACATCGGGTTAGTAACTCACGCATGGAAACAGCGACCCTGACCCACATCGGGTTAGTAACTCACGCATGGAAACAGCGACCCTGATCCACATCGGGTTAGTAACTCACGCATGGAAACAGCGACCCTGACCCACATCGGGTTAGTAACTCACGCATGGAAACAGCGACCCTGACCCACATCGGGTTAGTAACTCACGCATGGAAACAGCGACCCTGACCCACATCGGGTTAGTAACTCACGCATGGAAACAGCGACCCTGACCCACATCGGGTTAGTAACTCACGCATGGAAACAGCGACCCTGACCCACATCGGGTTAGTAACTCACGCATGGAAACAGCGACCCTGACCCACATCGGGTTAGTAACTCACGCATGGAAACAGCGACCCTGACCCACATCGGGTTAGTAACTCACGCATGGAAACAGCGACCCTGACCCACATCGGGTTAGTGTTGTAGTGAACACTGCCGGACTCGGAGATGTGTGGCCACCAGCGCGTGCGCGTCTTCCAGTGGCCGTTGCCGTTGATGTAGACACCGACGTACGCCTCCAGGCCTGTCAAGTTCGTGTTGGGGATGAGGTAGGAGGAGGGATGCAGGCGATACGTGTTCGGGTCCAACGTCAGGCTGCGCAGAGGACAGTCAGCAAACGTACAGAGAAGAAAGCTGCGTGAGCATATTGACGTTGTCAGTGAATTACACAGCCTGGACCAGCATGCACTCTAGGTCTATCTTCGTTAGTAGATAATCCCAGGAGTTTCGAATAATTGTTTGTTCGTTATATTGACGAGTATTATCTACTATCCGGACGTGAATGTACGCGTTTCAGGCATCAGGGGATATTCTGATCATTGTCTACTAATGAGGGTTGTCTTGTAGCCGGTGTCGTACTAACAAGGATAGACCTGTACTATGACATTGTACTGGTTTCAACGTGAACTCTAGTGTACTTTAGTCATGACTGATCAGGCACCAAACTGACATACAGTGAATCGTCAAGATGACGTACCGCAGCAAGCGCCATGAAAAGCATTGAAAACCTATACTTCATAGCCTAGATACAGTACGTGCATATCCTGGCCCATCGGATCTGGTCCGGCAGGTCAGTTGTGGCAACCAAATTCATGTTTACTGGCGAGGAGGTCGTGTGTACCTGCCATTATCATACACAAACTGTATGAAAGACTACGGTGTGACCGGACCAATCAAAACCTGCTTCCGGCGGTCCTGATACCCAAGGTCAAATGACTGGTATGTCATTATCCAGAGTCCTCAAAACACAGTACTGTATAGCTTGGTGGAATTCTAGCCAATCCGTTCTTTGGCACCCTGTAGTAGTTTTTTTGGTTCGCGTTTGAAAATCTTTATTTTACACATGCATTTTCCTGATTTCTTCTCCAGTGTACGTTGTATTGCACTTCCCAAATCCATTGTGTTAAAGTTTTGCCCGTAAAAGAGCCTTGTAGTAGAAAAAAGTAGAAAAAAGTAGAAAAAAAGTAGAAAAAAAGTAGAAAAAAGTAGGAAAAAAAGTAGAAAAAAAGTAGAAAAAAAGAAAAAAAATCACGGTTCGCGTGAGACTCGGCCAAAGGCCCAGTTTTCCTCATCCGCAGGAACGCCACCACCCTCTTGGATCAAGGCGCAGATGCAGCTCCTAAGCGGTGGGAGGTGAGTAGATCAGACCCACCACAAAGTGGTCAAAGACCGAAATCCCATTCAAAAAGTAGAAAAAAGGTACTGTAGTAGAGCTTGCTCTAGTAGTAGGTTTTTTCATTTGACCCGACAAGACCACACCACGCTTGCAGATCACAGCACGAACAGTTCACCAGCCACACTCCACGAAAGCAAGTACACTGTAGTAGTAGTACTCCTGACAAGTCTTGTTTCGTTCCATAGAGATATAACGGCAATGGCAACAAAGAATTAGAGCTTACTCTGTCAGATAGATATCCGTGTTGATATAGGGGATATGCGATGTCAGATCTGGTATCTTCACAGAGCCAATTTTCTCTTGAACTAGAGGGCTGGCAAAGTCCTTCAACACTGCCAAGAACACACAGGTATATACGAATAAATAAACCGACGCGCACACACACACACACGTGTACACACACACAGTCACACCCAACCACTCACACACATACACCCCCCCCCCCCCCCACACACACACACACAACAGGCGCGTAGCCGGCAGTATTTCCATGTTGCCCGGAAACCCCCTCCGCGGTAGCAGCGCAGACGACGAAACCGTTGAAAACTACAGTAAAACTCTCCTGAGTGCATGTCACCAGAAGTACAAAGACTCAACGTGACGTGCACGCCGCACGCATGCACTTGAGTGAGGTGTGAAACTATGTTACTTCGCGAGTGCTTCGTCCGCACCAATGACTTACATGGATGTTGCTGGACAACTACGGTCATTGTAAAAGTTCTCTTTCATGTTGCGTTTTTTTTTAATACAAAATTCTTAGATGTGAATGAGCCACAACACGTTGTAGTAATGCAGCAATGTCAAGTCCCAGATTGGGCCTCACAGGAGCTTGGAATTTGAAGATAACCTGTTGTGCCGGGCGCTCTGCCCCCGCCCTACCCCACCCCCCGCGGGGGACACGCCCGGACCCCCATCTGGAAACCCCCTCCCAAACCCTTCCTGCTACGCGCGCGCGCGCGCGCACACACATTCACCCACACCCACAAACACACACACGTGCCCATGGAATGCACGCGTCTAGTTTATAGCACCCATCGTGCAGCTAGTGTACAATACCATGTGAAGAACTCGTCATGCTCCGCTATGTGGCTATGTTGCAGTAAGTAAAGTAAATTATCGTGTCCGTTTCCGACGGCAACTCACGGCGGCCGCTAACACCCAGTAAACCCTAGCGGCAGATGCGGCGTCTAACGGTGGGGGTGAGTGGATAAGTCTCACAACCACTGGCACAAGTGCTTTCTTCACCACCATCGATTTGCCAATCCCACATTCAACGTTTATCGAGCGATTACTCAGAAATCCGACCCAGATTAGAATGATGATCAGCCTAGGTATACTCACAGTAGGAGAAGAACGCCTCGGACAATCGGAGAGATATTCCAGGATTCCGGGCGCTCGCCGAGCCAACCATCAAGGCCACAAGCAGTACAGACACCGCTGGTATCTTCCTCTGGATTGAGATCGCCGCCATAGTCAGCAGTGTTACAACTTCACTAGGCTAGCTAGCCGCCAGTACATGTAGTATCGACTCGTAGTCGTAAAGTTCTCTTTCAAACCGTCACCAGCACAGAGGTCACAGGCAAAAAAATCACACCCACAACTACTAGTAACCAGGTACCTTGTACTTGTAGAAAGGCTGTTACTATGTTAGCAAGTCGGCGATCGAGAAACTCAATCGGTTGTTATGATTTCTTTGGCAACCAATCAGCCTTTACTGCTTTACAATACGATCTTCGCCGTACTCGTAACGTAGGTGTACCACGCTCCACAGCCAGAATCAGGAATGGTTGGAAGGTGCCCGGCTTTCTCCACGTTGTTTGTTGCAAAACTTGTGTCGGGGTGCGCGTGGGCGATCCTGCATCCACCAGACTCAGATAGCTGGTTGAGCTTACAACGACGTCCACGATCTACAGACTCAGGATCTAGGAGTCAGGAGCGGGAACCAACACCAAGAACTAAAGACAACGTTAGTAGTAGTACTTGTAAGTCATTTTTTTATTTTGTTCAATGCCAATGGGCACGACAAGTAGCTAGCTACTACTCAGTAGTACACTACTACTACTACTAGTAATACTACATGACAGTACTACAGTGTACCAGGCCAGACGCGGACATCTGGGGATGATTGCCGACCAGGACGTGATCGTGAGTCGATGGGCCGCAGGATACTAGGTCTAGGATTTAGCCTACATAACACTACTGTAAGACATGTATATATAACGAGGAAGCAAATCTAACGTTTTAAAGGGGAAGTTAAGGCAAAAATTAAAATTTCACCAGTTGTAGTCTTCGGGGTGCTGAGTCGAATGGTCTTGGTCCGAGAAAGCTGAGACGCTCCCTTCCTACTTGAATCCCAATCGAACTCGCGCACTTCCACCGAAACTGGGTGACTGCGCCCTACTAGATGGGGATTTGTATGCAAAATGTCACTAAAAGCGCCATTTCGTTCTTATAAAAGCACGGATGACCGCGATTGGCCCATATGTTGTAGTCTTTTGGACGCCGAGTCGACTGGTTTTGGTCCGAAAAGGCTGCGATGCAGCGTTCCTCCTTTATTCCCAATCGAACATGGTTGAACAAGCGGTCACGTGCTCCTGCGTACACCAGTCACCTGGTCACCGTGCCTGCAGGGTACAACTTACAGCCTGTTTTGACCTTTTTTGGGTGCAGTCCTGTCACTCGAGTTGAACCTTGGTGTGAAAGTTGTCGCCTGCTGGCGTGGTGACCAGGTGATTTTGGCACCCTGGAGCACGTGACCGCTTCTTCAACCATGTTCGATTGGGAATAAAGGAGGAACGCTGCATCGCAGCCTTTTCGGACCAAAACCAGTCGACTCAGCGTCCAAAAGACTACAACATATGGGCCAATCGCGGTCATCCGTGCTTTTATAAGAACGAAACGGCGCGTTTAGTGACATTTTGCATACAAATCCCCATCTAGTAGGGCGCAGTCACCCAGTTTCGGTGGAAGTGCGCGAGTTCGATTGGGATTCAAGTAGGAAGGGAGCGTCTCAGCTTTCTCGGACCAAGACCATTCGACTCAGCACCCCGAAGACTACAACTGGTGAAATTTTATTTTTTGCCTTAACTTCCCCTTTAACGGATGTCATTTCTTCGTTATAATATTAATAAGATCCGTTGAGGCCGTACTGCTTCATATATGCTGTGTGTGGATATGGCAGAATACTCCAAGATCGTTAACATATCTTCTCGTTAACCTATGAATTTTGGACAATCGTTAAATTTGCGACTCGTTATAATAACATGTCTTACAGTAGTCACTGCATGCTAGCGTAGCCTGTAGATCTACTGACTGTGTGTAGGTTGTAGTGGAAGCACCTACACGCCCATTGTAAGTCCCCTATGTTCTCTTGATGTAATTGTTGTTGTTGTTTTTCTCTTCCATTCTATATGTAGGCATGTGCACTTTCATAAAAAAAAAATATAAAAAAATAAAAAAAAGCCTGGAAGGTCACTGTTTCCGAACACAGACTGTCGACATGACTCAGTGACTGTCATGTTATCATGGTTATGTCACGACGTCAGTGTCCTCCACCTTGTTTGATGCTGTCAATCTAACATAATAATAATCACAAAGGTCAAAAAGAATGGTTTCACCAATTATAGAAACATACGTTGTAACGCTGCGTTTCATGCACGTAGCTAAATGCTAAGGCAATCATCAGACAAGTTGTCTGATGATTGCCTTAGCATTTAGCTACGTGCATGAAACGCAGCGTTACAACGTATGTTTCTATAATTGGTGAAACCATTCTTTTTGACCTTTGTGGTTACGCTCCGCCCCTGTGGTGTTGAGCACTGTTGAAACCTGGGTATACCCACTTATGTAACATAATAATAATTATTATTATTATGACTACTTGTATGAGTGTTCTTTTTTTTTTAGGGACACGCATAGAGCCTCTTGTACGGGCAAAATAACACTGAGTGTATTACATAGTCATTGTACGTCTACGCGTATACGATCTAGGACTAGGCCTGGGTGCCCGGACAGATTTTGCTCCGCTCGCCTCGATATTTTGCCGCAAAATGTTGCTGCAAAATCTTCGATATTTTGCCGAGCCTGGCACAAGAAACTCCTCTTTTACGGGCAAATAAACACAATGGTTTAAACTCATACACTGGAGAAGAAATCAGAAAAATGCATGTGTAAAATAAAGAATTTCAAACCCAAACCAAAAAAACTTCAAATCAAGTTTGTTATAATTAAAAATAAAGCCTGAAACTCGATATTTTGCTCCATTTTGTTCCGGAAAAACGTGTATTTTATCCACTTCCCGTACAATCCCATACAACGTTTCATAAAAATCGCTGGGTTGGTTTCTCAACACAAGTTTCCACGCACGTGTCCCTGAGTTCTTCCAAAATCATGTCGATCCACAGTGATTCATAGGCACCGGCGGATAATGCTAGTTATATGAGGAAATTGTGCTACTAGCACTGCTAGTTATTTGGAGCGATTATGCTAGTTATAATGCTAGCAGTGCCGATAGTGCTACAAAAATGTCAATCCATGCGGTGGGAAATAATGACTTCCCTATGCAGTCACTCGGAATATGGCAGTATCACAGGGCAAACACGGTGAGAACATAACACATTGACATTGAACTTCAAGACAAGCATTGCAAATTTGGAAATCAAATTTGCAAAAAGTGTGCACAATGCTATATTTAGCTCCAAGTACAAGTCAGTGCAGTTTGCACAACTCCGTAAACGCAGCAAACAGTGCCAGACACGCTTCTGGCAACGGTGGCATCCAGCATACACTTTCATCTGGACGTAGGTCTAGTTTCACACATCGATTGTGCTAGACAAGGTCACATTTGGAGGCTTTATGCTAGGGCAGTGCCGGTCTTCCCCACATGGGTCATTATGCTAGTTATTATGCTAGCATTAGGCCGAGTAAAAAAAATTACTAGATGATCGTCCTTTTTTTTGGAAAAATCGGGGAGGGCGGGAGGATTTTATTTTTATTTTTTTACTTTTTACCCTCTCATGCACACAGTGTACACAACAACATCAAGGTTTTTTTCTCTTTTTTTCTTTTTTTTTCTTTTTTTCTTTTTCTTTCTTCAGCAGATCGATACTGACGTTGTGATATACTAGTAGTATGTGGTCCATATAGTAAAGAAAGTATTAAACAAAGCGTGCACATGTTTCCTGCATCCGCGATCGGTAAAAAACCAACGATTTCGGCAAAAACTCACGATTTAAAAAATAAAATATTTCTTGGGGCGCTGACAAAAACTGGGGCGGACGGGGACGATCATCTAGCTTTTTTTTTTACTTGGCCTTATCCGCCGGTGCCTAACAGTGAATCCCAGTGATACTGATTTCGGTGACATGATCTCGTCCTGGGCAGTGTGTCCTGCTGAACGAGTTAGAAACAAGGAAATCCAAGTATTAGGCATCGATTTTAACCAACATCTTGATATTTTGCTCCGATTTTGGAATGTTCTAAACACTCTGCTTGGTCGAATCAAGATCCACCGTGAACCAGGTGCAGAGGTCAAAGCCATCACAGCCTACATTCTCCGAAATAGTATCACCGGGTTCGCCAACTACACCAACCGCTACAACGCACACTACACTGCCACTAGGTCCGATGCCTGAACACAACTTTTGCACTTTCGACCGCATCCCGACAAGCCTCGTAGAATTCTACCTAAAGCGGTTGGACTGCCGTAAAGCGTGCGGCCCCGACAACGTACCCGCAGCAATCTACAAGTCTGCAGCTGACGGGATTGCCCCTGTTCTCGCTCCGCTATTTTCAGACTCACTACAATCTGGAACTTTCCCAACTCCGTACAAACAGGCTAACGTTCGGCCAATACATAAGCGAGGTGATCACAGCGATCCTACTAATTACAGGCCAATATCGCTCCTTCCGCAAATGTCAAAGCTGTTAGAACGCTGCGCCCTTGACCAGCTAATGGAATTCGTGCGTGACGCTCCACAAGCAAACCAAGCACTGCCGCCTGAACAGTTCGCCTACAGAAGACAACACTCCTGCGATGACTTGCTAGCCTTGGTGGCGAATGACTGGCAGCAAAGTCTGGATGCCGGTAAATTTGTGGTGGCAGCGTTTCTTGATATGTCGAAAGCATTTGACACGGTCAATCACAACATGCTCCTGCAGGAGCTTTTCGAGATCGGCGTCGGAGATAGCGCCCTGCAATGGTTTGCGAGCTACCTACGAGGCAGGCGGCAGCGAGTGGTAACACGTACGTCCAGAGGTGAACTGTACGAAGCTCACAGGGGAGTTCCTCAGGGATCCACCTTCGGGCCTGTGCTCTTTAACCTATCTGTACGCAAATTGCCCTCGGCAGCATCTTCCAGCATGGTGCGCCAGTACGCTGACGATGTCGCCCTGTACCTAGCAGGCCGCAACCTACAACAAACTACCGAAGAACTGGCCCGAGATGTGTGTCGTATCAGGGACTTCCTCAGTGAACGAGGACTAATCCTGAATGCCAGCAAGACCCAGTTCATTGTGTTCCACTCCAGATCGAAAAAAGTATGCTCCTCCCTCCGACTAACCATTGACAATGTCTCAATTCCACCAGCGACCACCGTCAAGTACCTTGGTATGACCTTTGACCAGCACCTGACATTCGCTGACCACATCAGTGCCCTTGAGCGAAAGGTAGGCGACAAGCTTGCTGTGTTTCGTAGAATCCATGACCGTCTAACAATTGATGCAAAGAGAACCTTCTACTGCTCGTTCATACAGGCTCAACTGGAGTACGGTTCCAATGCTTTTTATCACAGTCTGCAGGCTGGGCAACAAGATCGCTTGACTTGCCTTAGCAACCGTGCAGTTAGAACTGTTTTTGGTTATCCAAGGTTCTGTGATATTTCTACTATTCTAGCCAGATACCACCTAGCTTCTATCTCCTAACGTTTGAGATTCAAATTGTTTGTACTTATTTACAGATCATTACATAAGGTGTGCAGCCCGCTCTTAACAGACTGTTTTGTGACTAGAGTCAATACCACACACACAGCGTCAATCACCCGCTCGCAGGTTACTCTGTCTCTTGCTCTTCCCCCGGCTAATAACCGCTATGGCTTGTACGCATTAAATCGGTATGGTCTTTTTTCTCTTAGTTTTCTAGGCTCAGATCGTTGGAACTCTCTACCTGCTGACATTCGCCTTTGCACATCTGTTTCTCGCTTCCGTTACCTTGTATTGGCACATTTTTGTAGGTACTGCTGGCGTGGTGACCAGGTGATTTGGGCACCCAGGAGCACGTGACCGCTTCTTCAACCATGTTCGATTGGGAATAAAGGAGGAACGCTGCATCGCAGCCTTTTCGGACCAAAACCAGTCGACTCCGCGTCCAAAAGAGTACAACATATGGGCCAATCGCGGTCATCCGTGCTTTTATAAGAACGAAATGGCGCTTTTAGTGAGATTTTGCGTACAAATCCCCATCTAGTAGGGCGCAGTCACCCAGTTTCGGTGGAAGTGCACGAGTTCGATTGGGATTCAAGTAGGAAGGGAGCGTCTCAGCTTTCTCGGACCAACAAGACCATTCGATGAGCTCAGCACTCACATGTGACGTCATCATTAAGTGATTTTGTTTTCCAATCCTCCGCGCGCCGCCGTGTTTTGTTCGCCCGTAAAATTTAAAAGAGGCTAATAAAATAAAATAAATTTACCGTGGCAACTCGACTCGTGCACGCTATCGCACGTGCAGCATAGCTAGCACTGCATGCAGGCTGCCCGATTTGAAAAACGATACATAGATCTACAGTGCTGGCAACTGAAATCCGACTCCCGGCCTTGGCGGCGCGGTGCGCCGCCAAGGGAGTCGGATTTCAGTTGCCAGCACTCACTGTACGAGTAGATTGTATGTACGTAGATCTACTCCGTCATGACGTCAGTACTCGATCGTACTTTCGTAGATCTGAATTTTTTTTACCTGCAGCTAGCCTTCAACAGTTCAAGTAGTTCAATGCATGCTCCGAGCTGGAAGAATGAAGCCGCGCAGCAAAAATACTGAGAAAGGAAGGAGATCGAACACCACACGCACACACACAACAATCAGGCAGAGCTTGTCATTAATTTTGTGTACAAGGCAGAGAAGCTAACTTTTGTTTCGATCTTCTCTTCGCTCCGGAAATGGAGGTTCAAGACAAGAGAGCAGACTTTTTCAAGGGGAATGAACTCTCAAGAAGAGATAATATAGCAAAATTGTATGCCGTTGGGCTTACATGTAAGCAAATCATGGACCTGACTGGCTACAAGCGCACACAGGTAAGGCAAGAAAATGAAAATGTTTTGGTAGAAAAAATAAAATTTCATTGACAACCACCATCGTCCACGATCGTCTTGCTGTGGGAATTATTCTGCAGGTGCGGGATACGGTGAGGAAGCTAAAAAATAATGGGGAGATCAGCAGAAAGCTTAAATCGGGTCAGGCCTCTGCACCAAGTCAAGATCCTGATCAGGCTGATGCCACTCCTGCCGATACGAGTGATGCTGACACGGCGGACAAGCCCGCTCAACAAGACCCGCAGAAGAAGGCAGCGGGTGATGACTCGGTGGAGCGAACAAAGAAGGCCATGCAGGAGTTTTTCAAAGGCAATGAACGCGCGAGAAGAGAGAGGATAGCGGCATTGTCCCGCTCTGGGCTGTCATGCAGGCAAATTAGGGAACTGACTGGCTACAAGCGTACACAGGTAAGCGGCAAGAAAGGTGAACGTGTTTGGTAGAAAATACAAGAAATGACAATCATGATCGTCTTTCTGTGCAAATTGTTCATGACCAGGTGAGGGATACACTCAAGAAGGTGCAAAATAACGAGAACATGAACAGAAAGCATGGAAGTGGGCGTTTCGCTGCAAGGATTACTGCTGTAGCCGCTACTTCGTCTGTAGCCGCTACTTCGGCTGTAGCCGCTACTTCGGCTGTAGCCGCTACTTCGGCTGTAGCTGCTACTTCATCTGTAGCTGATACTCCGGCTGTAGCCGCTACATCGGCTGTAGCTGCTACTTCGGCTGTAGCTGCTAGTACTGCTGTAGCTGCTAGTACTGCTGTAGCTGCTAGTACTGCTGTAGCTGCTAGTACTGCTGTAGCTGCTAGTACTGCTGCTGCTACTTCTACTGTAGCTGCTACTTCTGCTGTAGCGGCTAGTACTGTCGTAGCTGCAGCCGCCGCTGATGCTGTGGCTGCCGCCACTGACGCAGCCGCTGGCACGGTTACAGTTGCAACTACAGCTAGTGCTGCTGCTGCTTCTGCTGCTCCTGCTGCTGCACCAAGCCCTCCGCCACAAGAAGGAGCGGCAGACATCGTCCACACGAGCATGGAGAGAGGTCGGCCAGATCAAGAGGAGGTCCAGATGGACGCCGACCGTGAACTCATCGTGGTGGTGGACAGCTAAGCAAACTGGGCGCTAAGAACGATCCTTTAGCGTCCACCCACTACGAGTATCCCTGTGGTGCTTGACTGGCCGAGTTCGGCTCTTGATCCAACGCTGTACAATGTGGACTGGATAGATTTCCAGCCATAGTGATAGGGACTGCTCCATGATATGTGCTGGTAGTAGCATGACCCACTGTATGCTGACTGTACTGCAGATAAGCAAAGGTATGTATGGACGCTGAGTGCACACAACGCCGCACTCTGAGATTAAATGCATGCGTACTCGCTGCACAACAAGTCGTATTGCTTAAGGCGCTGCGCAGCGCTCGAGTCACACTGCCCAGCGCCCAGCTCAATGTTTACATCTCCGCTCAGTATATCCTTTTTAAGTCAGGACCCCTACTTTGAGATGCACTGCGCATTCAAGTAGCAGTTTTTTTTAAACATTTTAGGAATCAGATGCAACCACACAGTTGTTACTATGAGTGTGTTGCTTTTAGGCTACAAACACAGCTGTTTTCAATTGTTGTCACCGTTGTAGTTGTTGAAGTGACTACGACGGATTAGTCGGTAGAAATGAAGCGGTACCGTGTGCCATGTGTACCCTGTGTACGGGCCGGCCTGGTTATGGCGATCACCGCGGTTACCATCAAGTACCGCAAGAGCGCACTACCAACGCATCCTTTTGTGGTCGCGCTGTGGTGATGTCTAGGCTTCCGCGGAATGTGCCGGCATAATTTCGGGAATTATCGGGGAGATTTTTAAAACGGCAATTTCTGGGAAATTATCGGTAAAATTTGAGCAATGCCCCCCCCCCCCCCCCCCTCTTTTCATTTTTTCCACTTATAACACCCTGCTTTGTACCGAAAGGCTTGTGATCCTGCAGTTCAAGATCGCCCTAAAAAAAGCTTCCAGCCGAGTCTCACGCGAACTGTGATTTTGTGCCCGTACAAGTGGCAACAAGAGTATTATAACCCCCCCAAAGAGTGTGCAACTCCGCATATGGGGTCTCTGATGGCGAAAACTCACATCACGTGTCTTAGATACGTTTGTACGTAAACGAAGGGTAGCGTGCTCGCAATCCCAACATAATGCTGGGAATTTGCATACCCCGTGAGTTTCTGTCAGAGAGTGCTTTTTTATTACTCCGCTGCTCGCTAAAAATGGGCTGGAAACGTACAACTGCGACACTGCACCATGTGATGTGAGTTTTCGCCGTCGGCGTACCCCATAGAAAGGGTATCAGGAGTTGCACACTCTTGGGGGGTTATACTACTCTTGGTGGCAACAGTACCGGTACGTACACAGTACGGTATCTGCAAAAAAAGGGAAGAAAATTATTGTGAGAATAATTGGTGAACTTTAAAGGGAATAATCGGTCGAAATTTTGAGCAATGCTCAAAGGAATTATCGGTAAAATACGAGCATATTCTGCAGAAACCTAGGGCATGCTCAATTGTGCGAATCCATAGGCCCGGACCCGGATTCGCCAAATTCGTACTTGTTGAATTGTACGAATCGTCCCGCGGATTCGGATCCAGTCAACCCACCTCACAGAGCCGAATTCGACGGATTCATTTGCTCCCTATCTACATGTACTAAACCTCCGAATATGCGTACACTAGGGCAAGAGTTCACTATCGCGTACAGGTGCCATGGAATAGTACGGGATAAGCTGTAGCAACACGGTTGCTAAATAAGTCTTGAAACTGATTATCAGTTGCGCACATTTAATTGTATCTGTCCGATCGGAGCGATCGGGATCCAGTTTCCGCAATCGAATACAGCCCTAGTGGTACCATCAAGAGTACATACCCCCCCCCAGAGTGTGCAACTCGAGTATGGGTGCTGTCCCGACAGAATTTCAAGTTGACGTCATTTTTATGATGCAATGCGCACTTTACACGGATTATCAGACGAATCCGGAACCGGGCCACCTCACTGGCCTCAACCTACTCTCGGCAGGAGAAGGTGAAACGCCGGGCGTACGAGCATCGTATCCGCGACGTGGAACATGCTTCATTTGTGCCAGCTGTGTTTGCCACAACCGGTGGAATGAGTCGCAACTGTACAGCTTTGTATAAGCGTATTGCGTGCCTGCTAGCAGAGAAGAGCAAAGAGTCGTACAGTGTGGTGATGGCATGGGTCCGCTGCCGCCTACGCTTTGCGCTCCTCCGGGCGAGCGTCATGAGTCTCCTCGGATCCCGCAGCCTCAAGGCCTCCGCCGACTCTACCACCCCTGCTTCTCTTGTTGCTGCGGAGGCATTGATTCCAGGGCACTAGCTCTTGCAGTGTGACTTGGCATTCGTGTGATCTAGCAGCGATTTTCATTTACACTTTTGTTATTACCGTAAAGTACCGCCAGAGCGCCCCGTCTCGCCAGAGCGCCCCACCTTGATTTTACAGCCAAGGGAAGAAAATCGTATGGCAGAATGCTACTAAGTTTGTACGGTGTGAGAACCTTTGTGTACTAAGGTCACACTTGGTATGCTTTTATGTGGAGCTCGAAGGTAAACTGGGTACGGATTGACTGCACAATGTGCAATGTTTGTACAAGGTCCATGTCGTATGACCTACAGACAGGAATCCACCTCCGCAAGGCGGCCACGAAAGGACGAGATGGTGGGGCGCTCTGGCGGTACTTTACGGTAATTTGCTTCTCACCTTTTATCAGTCATTTCGTATGATTTATAATGCAGTTGCAGTACCAGGTGGGGGCCATCCCCTGGATTATCAAAATGGGTGCCTATAGCGCCTCGTCATTTTTCTGTTGTTCTTGCACTTCGGACTTTGTAATGAATAATTACGAATGGTTTTGAGCGGTATCGATCAGCCTCTTGTACGGGCAAAATCAAAAATAGTTATTATGATTATGTAGCTAGCATTCACAGTACTGTGCAGTATGGGGTCGTCGCAAAAGTTTTTTTGTCGTCCCTGAAACGAACATGATTCGTTGGGGGGGGGGGGGGGGGGGGGGGGGGGGCGAGCGAAAATCACAAGTAGACGGACACTGTCCATATAACATGTGCATGCATGTGATTTCGTCGTCCTGCATAGCAAGCTGTGTTCGTTTCAGCGGGAGGGGAGGGGTCCGAGTACGAAATGAACGATGTTCGTTTCAGGGACGACAGAAAACTTTTGCGACGACCCCTAACCCCTAACTGTAATACACTAATAATGGTGTGCAGTCAATTCGTAACTCAGTTTACCTCGGAGCTCCACACAAGAACATGCTAAGGCTGTGTTTACATGAGAATTTTCAACCCGGGTTGAAAGTCTGTACAATAGACAAAAGAGGTGAGCGTTTACATGAAGACAGTTGATCCGGGTCAAATACTGATATGCCGCCAAAAGTCTACTTCTACAGTCCTGTATGATCACGTGAATCCGTTCGCGCGAAATTTGTATCTGCAGTGCTGTTCAAACCTGGCGCGAGATACGCACAGAAGTACGTTTGTACGATTTTCTTGACCCGGGTTGATTTCAACCCTCCCCTTGGGGGGAGGGTTGAAATCAACCCGGGGCGAAGTTTCAACCCGGGTCAAGCGCAATGCGTCATGTAAACGCGCCATTCACTTTGTGCACATGGCGGGTTGAAATCTGACCCGGGTTGAAACGCTTCATGTAAACACAGCCTAACAGACTATACCATTATCCGCTGTTCGATGTGTGTTCCCGTAGGATTTATGCTCGCATGTCGAATGGGAAATAGTGGCGTAGCTGTGCCTTGCATGACTGGACACACATACCGGGCGTGTTGGACTGGGAGCTTTCTGCTGCCGTGCTCCAGGACCAGGACTCGGTACCCCATTGTCTGTTGAATCAGATTATTCTGTGCATGCCTGCCACCTGGCACCAGTAGAGTCCTTCATTATTTTTCGAGCATGTTGCTTCTTTTGGTGAACGGTGTGTCTGATGGCGAGTTTGTTCATCTGGGATTGATCACACTAAATTGCCACCTGCTTGGGAGAAGTGATAATTATATGAAGGACTCTACGGACGAATGGGCATGCGCAGAGTGATCGGATTCAGCGGGCACTCTGCTCTGATTGGCTGTAGTACAGACAACCGTCATGTGACATGCAATAACATCCATGGACTTGTCAGAAAAACTCAACATATTCAAGGAAGCGTGAGCTCAGATGGCTGGCAAGCAGCATAAAATAAATACTTGTCCTTCGAAGTAAAATTAATAGCAAAGAGGATTTTCAGAATCAAAATGAAGAAAGCATACACAGTACAGAACAAGAGAAACCTTCGCAAGAATTCGTCTGGCAAATGCAGCAAGAATGGTCTATCAATCAGACAATGTATAAAACATCCCAACATCCACGAATGTCAATGAAAAATCGGGCAAAAAGAGAGAAATTGCCACGGTAACGGATCTGAAGAGATCAAACAAAGAGAGCTGTGAGAGACAGCCAGACAGGGTCACCGTACAGAAACACAGCACAGCATTGCAACTGTATGCAATACTAACACTACTACAAGTACTATGTGGACATTGCCAGTCATAAGAGAAAACTGCACAATTACAACCTAGCAAGTTTGAAATGTGTCTATGTCTACCGATCTACTCTAGTCTTCATACACTCACTGACTGCTGCACATCTAGAGCAAGTCGGAGAAGGACTTGGTGAAAATGTTCATGATCATGTCCTGGCTCTCAACCAGCATGTTACTAATGGTCGAAGTAGCATACTCCAGGTACTCGGGGAGCGAGTTGTGCGACTTTGTCTGGTGGTGAGTAGGCAGTTCGCCAAACACAAGCTCTTCGGCGGACATGTTGACCGCTGGAGGCTTTCCTACGTTCAGCGCCAGTTTCAAGTGATGCTGGACACAGGAGGCAGCACAAACACACAACACACACACGTTGAGTTTGATGATAGAATTGCACGATGCCAGCGGTGAATCCCGTGCAACTCCACCGCAGAGACAGATACTGTAAGTATACAAATTTTCGCCAGCTAATTAATTTCGGCTATATTCGGCACCGACTCAAAACGCCGATGAAATTTTCACAGCAACTGTCGCACTATACCATGCCCTCTACCCCACGCCGAAAATAAATCGCCCCCGAAATGTCAAAAATCGTGAAGTGCCGAAATTTTGCAGCGCCAAAATTTTGTATATTTACAGTAGTCAAGTCTGACCTGGACTCCCGCGCCACAGCAAGACTCAACTCCACTCGTCACACAATGCAGACTTTCTGCTCTTGGAGTGTTACTCTATGAAAGATTTAAGATGTACTGTAAAGTGAGAAACTTTTGCTAGAGATTAAATTTCGTTATTTTCGCGACCATCACACATTCGCAAATATAAATCGCCGAAAACCTCTCCGTACATTGATTGTAGACAGTACAAGATCCGACTGAAGAGATAGAATAGCAAACGTTTCTCATCGTGAACCAGCCCGATTTATGAAAACGCTAAATTTGTACACCGCGAAAGTTTGTCGCTTTACAGTACTGAGTTTCAACCGATGTATTTTTTATGATCGGGGTTGGGTCTTAACGTGCACGATGATTTAGGTAAGGAAACAAAGCATAGCGAGAGCTCCGAGCTTTAGATCACGTGATGAGGAGCATAGCGAAGGGTCCTGAACTAGCTCTTGTGTGCACCAGGGTATGGGCAAGAGCACAACAGCACAGACACCACATTCTACTCACATCACCAATCTTCAACTCCGGCTGATAGATACCGATGCCACCAATTGCTGGTGGAATAGCAAGAATTCCCTTTGATAGAAGCTCTGTAGGGGAAGGAGCAGAAAAGAGAGAGAGACAGGGGTCGCAAGGGAAAAAACGCGCACGTGTGTGGGAAAAAACACACGGGACGTGAACAAAGGGCACACACACACACACACACACCGGAGTAGCCAAACATACATACACCCATACACAATACCTGAACACACGTGAACACAGTTGAATAGAATTACGTACCGGCAGCATTGTTGAAACCTTCCGTCATGAGCTGCTGCATCCACTTCTGAACAACCGTATCCTGTATTTGGAAAGAGGGACAACAGAAGGGAATTTCATTCAAATGCCACGTCAAAGAAGTACAGTAAGATCGGGCACCGACGAACACAGGAAATGTTCAAATGGTATTAGACGTTTTGTAAATTTTGTTCTTATTCATCACGGCGAGCACCATACGATGGAGGCGCGGAGGATGCGATCACAACACGTGGAAAAGATAGAAAATGGTACGGGTGTACTTATATCTGTAAATTTAGGCCGAATTGCTCTTAAATCTGGGCCATGGTCCAGTCAAAGTGTTCTTCGGTGCCTAATCTTACTCTTAACTACAAGTAGTTAGTAGGTCAAGAGTGTAATTGCTCAGGTAATCGTCTACACGGAAACAGCAGTGTGTTTATCAGGGCTTGACTGGCGAACTAGGAAAGGACGTGCTGCTCAGATGCCAACACACACACACACTCAACAGTCGCACTCAAAATAACAGAATGACTACTGCGGGGGGGGGGGGGGGGGAGCATGACACAACATGTTTGGAGACTGGGCAGTCAGCGGGTACTTACGTCAGCTGTGAGAGCTGCTCTAATAACCGTGACATTGTTCACCCTGGCCATAAAAACAACAACAAAACACACATACCATGCTCGACCGATAAGTACTCCTGGGCACTATTCAAAAGAGGGCACTATTTCTTCGATGCTGGTACAAGTACACATTTACGTCATCCAGCATAAAAACAAAGAAGGCAAAGAAAAACAGAGCCTAAGATTTACTGTAAACTACCAAGACTCAACAGAGATGGCAACAAGACCTGCGATTTTGATCCAGAAACCACTAGTGCAATGATATGGTCAAGAACATTAGCAACACGACACCAAACTTGCAACCAAAATGTCCTCCTCATGCACATTGCAGCAGTAAATCAGATATTCTAGTCCAGCATCCTCTCTCATACAGCAGAAATACAGCAGCACAGATGGTGCCAGATTTTAAAAGGACCACTGTATCTGTACTGAGTTACTAAGACAACACACCATGCCACAGCAGGTGTATACTGAATGAGCGCATCCGTACTCGGTAAATGCATTGCTGTACGCGGCACTGGAAACACACTAGCTACCCTGGGAAGCAAACGCTGGGTGCATGGCGCGCGTGAGATCACGCTACCCCCCCCCCCCCCCCCCCCCCCGTGTTACATGTACTCACTCAGTGTCCAGGAACTTCAGGTAAACAAGTGAAAGCACACCGGCCTGTGTCTGCGTGGGGGCAATGTGAGCCGTCATACCAACAGTGAAGTTCACGCGAATCGTGAGCACCTCCTTGAACGTCTTTGGGTAAGCACCCGCCACCGACGTCAGAGCAAGTATCTGAAAGGCGATGGCAAAGTTGGACACAGCCTTGTCCTGCTCCAGGTGGAAGGCAGCCGAGATCAGACTGGTGTTGAAGTACAGGGAGAGGTTGCCAAAGCTTTGGTGAAGCTGTGCACACAAAGGACACACCGAACTATAGTTACTGGTAGTGAAACCAATCACTGTACCGTACATACAGCTGATCACTACAGTAGCAGATACGATGAGACCTCCAAGATCTGTAACTAATTCACAGCCGAGGTACCGCATATCCAAGATCAAACGATGAAAACAGAACATACTGCAGGGTTCTCGAAAATAGTTCCACACTACTTGCTGAACAAAATTTCACATTTTTTTTGCGCAGAACAGGGAGTTCCCCGTCCCTGCCACGGCTGATCGTGACATCACTCCCAAAGAAGATGGCCACGGATGTGTGGCATGTTCTCGAAAAAAGTCACGCGGCAGGACGAGCGTGTTTTGGCGGTGAAGTACAACCGATGTTATGGTTGAAAATCGAACAATTAGCAATCACATTGTTGCAAATTTATTAGCGTGATTTGATCAGTGGCAGTCTAAAGGGTTAAAGACTACCACGGGGTCATGTGATAAACAACATGACATCAGTGTGATGGACAATGTGTCCACTGCTAGAACCATAACAAAGGTCAGAAGGCGAGAAGCGTCTCTTATACCACCGGGCACGGCGCTGCGATCAAACTGCCCAGTGCCACCCAGAAATGACGAATTTCTGATGTGTTTTCATCACGGAGGGGAAATTCTTAGCCCTCTCAAACATAGGGAGGTGGAAAAGGACTGAATCATCGGAGAACATTTTAAAGGTTCGATTGGAAATCCCTTCCATCACTTAGCTCCACCGCACCACACCACACGGTGCGTAGCTCGTGTGTAGTCAGCCTAGTCCAGTCACCACAACACAAAATAGCCGTCATGCGTACCACATTGTCAAAACAGGCAACAACGGCGGCTATGAGGTTGTAAGTGGTACATGGTCACCACAGGGTCACATGCTCTGGCTAAGGCCGTGTTTACATGAGAAATTTCAACTCGGGTCGAGTTCACCCCGGGTTGAAAGTCTGTACAGTAGACAAAATGCGAGCGTTTACATGAAGACAGTTGACCCGGGTCAAATACTGATATGCCGCCAAAAGTCCACTTCTAGAGTCCTGTATGATCACGTGAATCCGTCCGCGCGCGAAATTTTCATGTGCAGTGCTGTTCAAACCTGGCGTGAGACACGCACAGAACTACGTTAGTACGATTTTCTTGACCCGGGTTGATTTCAACCCGGGTCAAGCGCAATGCGTCATGTAAACGCGCCATTCATTTTGTGTACACGGCGGGTTGAAATCTGACCCGGGTCGAACTCAACCCGGGTTGAAACGCCTCATGTAAACACAGCCTAATAGTCAAAACGCAACAGACATGCAAGCTACGCCCCTGCACGAGGCATAGGGCATTCTGCAAGCCAGAAGCATTCTAACGAGATGAACTTTTGTAAGAGAAAAAAACTCAACAGAAAGACCAAGCAAAACAGGAAACCGTCTTGCCAACGCAATCTAACTCACCCCGGGAATAAGCTTGTTGAACACTTTATCACCAGCCGTCTTGGCCTGTAGAGCACACACAAACACACAAACACACCAACACACACATACACACATATATACACACACATGCATTGCTGGTGGTTGTATTGGACGTTAAATTACACATAAGTATAATAATTAGGGGTGAAACAATTATACCGAATATTCGAGTACTCGCTCGTTTTTTTCAAGAATAATTGTACTCGAAATAAATCAGAGTACTCGTTCATCCATGGTACATGCATTTACCACAGAAATCTACAGTTTCAGAGCAGCAGTCAGTAGATATTGATGTGCAGACTGTGTGGTGAGCCTTTGTTCATGAACAGGAAACGTCGGAAGAGAGATCCCGTCGACTCCAGAACCCCCGTGATCGGCAGAGTCCGCCGGTCCCAGGCAACGTCAGGACAGACATCCCGTTGAGTCCAGAACGCCCGTGATCGGCAGAGTCTAAGCCGGTCCCAGGAAACATCAGGACAGACATCCCGTCGAGTCCAGAACGCCCGTGATCGGCAGAGTCAGCGCCGGTCCCAGCAAACGTCAGGACAGACACCCCGTCGACGCGCAGAAAAACTAAATCTGCAGCCTATTTTGCCGTCGGACAGGATACGTATTATAGGAGACTGTAAAGTTATGTAATGTCCAAATTTCCACGTGAGCAGCAGGTCACTCGCGTTGATTTTTCGACGTGCGAGCCAAATAACGCGAGCTGAACTTTCGCGTCGCAGACATCCGGTCGACGCGCAGAAAAACTAAATCTGCAGACTCTTTTGCCGTCGGACAGGATATGTATTTTAGGAGACTGCTAAGTTATGTAATGTGCTCCACAGGCAACCATGCATTCGGCGTCGTCATTGGCTCAACAGGTCAATGTACATGTATTACTACAAAAAGGCCAGAAAATCCGATTACTGTATTAAAATCAACTAATTTCGCTGGCGATTTAATTTCGCTGATTTCGCCGCTTGGTACCAACCGGCCAAAGTAAATCGCAGGCCAAAGTTTGTCATATAGGCAAATGATGCATGATTGAGCAATGGATGCATGTGAGAGCAAAAATACCGATCGATTTCAAATTTGACGTGAAATTGCGCGTCACGTCGGAAATATCGTGCATCTTAACCTCTCTAATAGAGAGGTTTCTATTTCTCATCGGCCAAAATTTGTTGATTTACAGAATAAGGAGATAAAAAGAAAAGAAGGAGCAAACCAAAAGTAGATGATTATTAGAGAAATAACAATCCGCAATAAATTCTGCAAATACTTTTGCCTCAGTTTTTATAACATGTACGATGAGCTAGGCAAAAAAGCATAGCGTAGGGCCCTGAGCTTCCAAGCTTTCTCGTAATTTTTGCCTTAACTTCCCCTTTAACGATCTTGCAGTATTCTGCCATATCCACACACAGCATATATGAAGCAGTACGGCTTCAACGGATCTTACTATAACGAAGAAATGTCATCCGTTAAAACGTTAGATTTGCTTCCTCGTTATATATACATGTCTTAAAGTACTCGAATATTCGATCGGAGAAAATCAGAGTACTCGAACTCGGGATTTCAGTGTCAAGTTTCACCCCTAATAATAATCACCTCCGCCATCATGAGATGAAAGCAAGCTAACGTCGTGAGAATAAAGATTAGAAACACACACCACTACAATCTGAATTTGCCACCCAGGCCAACAACACAACAACTACAGCAAGTCATGTCATGCTTACAGATGGAACATTCATATGAATCAGTCCACTGGCAAAGATGGCATCAACAGCGGACGTGAACGAGGCTTCGGAGATGAGCAACGAGAGGCTGCGATCACCACACGGAGAAGGAATGGCAGGGAGATCCCGGGAGCTGATGGGCACATATGGCTTTCCCTTGTAGATGAAAAAACCCTGTCAGAAAAAAAGAACAAAAGAGCTGTTGTTAAGATCACTAAGTAGCTGAGATGTAGGCTAGAAGAATGGCCATTAAGACCAGAGTAAAGATCAAGGAATACCCAGAGGTACACCAGACGACATTGACGACTTCCCAAACTTGCACACTTATTGAGCACCAACAATTTCTGAATTTAGAGTATTCTCTGGGGACACTGCCCAACAGGCGTAGCATCTCACGCAGACACCTTTTCTCCAATGTTTGAACCTCAATTTCACAAGGAATGGATATGGGGACCCTAAAATTTATCCCAGATTCAGAATCATCATGATTTTCTCCGGTAATCCACCTCGAAAAGAGGAGATCATTACATTGATGACATGTTGGTGAAGAGTGACCACAAGTCTGTGTGGCAATGGCTGAATCTGTAGCGCAATGCCGTATAAAAATGACGCTGGAATCTCATCATGCCAGTGCACGTACAAGCAAGTAGAAGGGGGTTACGTTGACCACATCGACGACGATTTCAAAATGAACAGGAGTGTCGTGACATTGTGCGTACGACTGATACAGTACTGTCGAGTGCCGAAGAACGAATAGGCTACAGTAGAATGTAGAATTTTACAAGCTGCAGGATACCTGTATACACATACATGTATGCACATGGTAGCTGAACTACAAGTATACCGTAATTCCGCACATACAACGTGTTTGGCCCATCACGCGATGTGTCTCCCCGTACGCAACATGAAGTATAAACCATGCTTCATCCCCCGTTCATCGACACCAGACAGCAGTGTAGTACAGTAGGGTGCTGGCCTACGCGGAGTACTCACATCGAACTGCATCTCAGCGAAGCAGTGGTCACGCCAGACTCCACTGCTGGTCAGAGAGACGTTCAGGGCAAAGTTCTTGCATGGCGGTGGCAGACCGCGCTGAACACAGCCTGGTATGGTGATATCTAGGGTGGTGGAACACAAGGACACACACACAAACACAAGGACACACACACACACCAGGACACACACGCACACACAAGGACACACAGGGTGAAGCTGTGCAAACAAAGGACACGCCGACCTACAATTACTGGCATTATGACTTATCACCAATCACCCTACATCCCACAGCTCATCACTAGCATAGCAGATACAATGAGACCTCCAAGATCTGTAACTGACTCACCAACCCAACGCTCACTACACTCCTCACAATCTTCACATCGTTGTTATTATTATTAAGTTTTGATAATTCACACACACATACTGTTTACCTGCTGAAATTGTCCCCCGCTGAATACGTGTAGTATAATCACCTTTTTTTGTTTCGCTCTTTTCCCCTTCTTTCACTTTCATTTGTCCATAATAAGGTTTGTTTCAAGTAGTCCCCATTCCATTGTTACATAGATTCACAGATGAATATAACAAGAAAACAGTTCTGAACAAATCCTCTCTTTCCCTTTCGTTGTGTGCCTTGCGATCATCGTTTCATATTTTACCCATATATGTCGACATTATAGGAAATGCTTACACATACAGTGCAATTAGTCTTGTTGCTATCCTATGAATTTATTTTTCAATATACAGGTAACCCAAAGGCAATGGTACCTAAATCAAGGGGTGTCTCCGGACCAAACAGAGCGAAGAGCTCAGCCAGCAGAACACATGAGAAGCATTGTCTTAGTGATGCTTGCAACAAGCAAGGCCAGGGGTGTTTCTGGGTGATATGGACGCACTGTGGTTCGTCAGTCCGATAACCTCTCCATGACTACAAACGAAAGTCCGGCGGAACAAAAAAATCGATGTCTCAACTCTCAACTGAGAGTTTCGTGCTCAAAAGAAATCTTGAGGTGTGCGTGATTACTTACAGGGCAAGTACTGCTTCATGTACGGCGTCAGCTTGGCCAGTGCTCCAGCCACTGCAGTCTTGATCTGAAGAAGAGAGACAGAGCAAGGGAGACACATACACTGGAGATTAGAGACAGAACCTGCGGCCAAAGTCACAGAAGAGCCTATTGGACCCAACCCATGCGCGGTAAATTTGCATCTCCCATGGAAAGGGCAAACCTCATAATGACAGACATTACATGTAGCCCCTGAAGTAAGGATGGCAGTCAAACAAACTTACTGCAAGAGAGAGAGAGAGTGAGAGAGAGAGAGGGAGAGAGAGAGGAGAGGGAGGAGAGGGAGAGAGAGACGAGGATTGCTAAAACGAAGGATTAGTCAAAAACAGAGTGTAATTAAAAAAAATTAAAAAAAGTTTATCACCAGCTGCCATGCCCTACATAAGTGTGCATGCACCGTTGTCGGTACATGACAAGAGATTCCAATGTTGAGAGAAAGAGGAACATGTGATCTGAACTTACAGTATTGGTGACTGTCTCCCCTGCCTTCTTGTTGATGTAATCTTTCAGAGCACCAATATCCAGTCCCGATCTGAACACACACACACACACGCACAAATGCGCACGAATGCACGCATTCACACAGATGTCACTCGGATCACTCTCCATCAAACTGAAGCGTGTAACACGAGGTGTTATGTCCTTGGACCCATACTGCCATACATCGCTAGCTAGACATGATTAGACACGGTTAGCATGCAACAGTGTACATGGCCTTTTCCGAGCCCAGTCAGGGAATGGCCAAAAGCAAGATTCAGCTATTTATGAATGGACTGTAGAGCAAGGTGTTGAATTCATGGCTGCACGCCCACTGTCATACAATATCAGATATGGATGACTGCAAACAATAATGGCATAGACTTCAAAACTGCCAGTGTGAGACCAGCATGAACACTAAGCACCCCTCAGGCTCTATTTGCAACTTACAGAACGCCGCCGTGAAACTTGATGTCGAATTTGGAGTTCACCGTCAGGCGAGTAATCTGAAATTTCCATATGCCATCGGAACCCGGCGCTACAACAACACCCAACAACCAAACAAACACGACTATCGTAATCAGCTCGGATACTGAGCTAATAGGAAATGTAAAAATAGAACCCTGACGAGTGCTGTACGAAAACTTGTTCAAATCCTAATTGTTTTCTTCACTATTTCTTCCTACTTTCGTTTTAGTGCACACTGTCTTCACCGTTTTACACTGCATGAATAAACACAAACGTCGATTCAGCTTGTCTTAGTGATTGTGGTTGTAAAACAGAAGAGAACACGTTTGTGCATGTGTGTTTCTGTGCCCGGCGGTTATCGCACTTTCCGACTACTGTAAGTCTACAAATTCTCGGCCCATTCAAATTTCGGCCAAACATGACTAGGCCGAAAAAAGCCGAAAATAAATATGCGCCGAATATTTGTTGACTAACAGTGCTTATCATCCCATTACAGCGGTGGACAGCTACTATTGTAAAAGCCATATATATATATATATATATATACTCAATCTGCGGACAGCATGCTGTTTCGTTCTTTTTGAACTCATCAGCGCAGCACAGAGAAAATGAGGCCGAACCTGAAAGCAATGGAAATAAAAATTTCCGATCAGGCCCGAACGTACCTTGCCAGAGTGCTCAAACTGACAAGTCAGTGAGCTCTGCATAACGCAATCAGCAAAGGCACTACCCCACGCAAGAGTGCTCAACTGCTACAAGAGCAGGAGCGAAATACTCAATCTGCGGACAGCATGCTGTTTCGTTCTTTTTGAACTCATCAGCGCAGCACAGAGAAAATGAGGCCGAACCTGAAAGCAATGGAAATAAAAATTTCCGATCAGGCCCGAACGTACCTTGCCAGAGTGCTCAAACTGACAAGTCAGTGAGCTCTGCATAACGCAATCAGCAAAGGCACTACCCCACGCAAGAGTGCTCAACTGCTACAAGAGCAGGAGCGAAATACTCAATCTGCGGACAGCATGCTGTTTCGTTCTTTTTGAACTCATCAGCGCAGCACAGAGAAAATGAGGCCGAACCTGAAAGCAATGGAAATAAAAATTTCCGATCAGGCCCGAACGTACCTTGCCAGAGTGCTCAAACTGACAAGTCAGTGAGCTCTGCATAACATATATATATATATATATATATATATATATATATATATATATAGAACAATAGAAGTATTTCTTGCGTCGGCAAAAAGTGCTCAATGTCCTAAGACAGAGCGGGGTTATACACTCAGACACAAAGGATCTCCAAGTTTCTCAGTGTTGCTACTCTGAGTTTCGTGCAAAAGCACTCTATATATATATAAAAAGCACTCTATATATATATATGAGTTGGGGTGATCCCGTTCGTTGCGAATAGTGCTCAATAGTACGGGGTACTAGAGCCAATACACACTGCACGATCAGGTCCTCACCAGAGATACATCATCGTTCTTTGCAACTCTGAGTTTCATGAAATGAATCAATCATCAGGCAATAGAAACACAAACTGATACAGGGCAACTAGATCACTACAGGTTATATACCCAGTCACACAGCAAGCGCGAAAGAAGGCACTAAGATAGGGGTGAGAATATTCCGTGCTAAAAAAGCAGGCTTCAGGTGGCAATGTTTAGGGCTCTGTACTTGTACTGTGTGCATGTGTTGGATATGGCGTTGGGTATGGTGTATGAATTGGCAGAGTGTGCAGGCTGTTCACGCGATGCTCATACGTAGGCAGGGCGTTGCATTTGGCGTATTGGTCATTCTAGGTGACTCCTTGGAAGTTCACGAGTCGGAACTTGTTTGCGTGCCTGCACTTTGCGACGACTTCGCTCCTCTTGTTCAGTGCCAGGGTCTTATCAGCAATAAGGATTCTGGCCTTTTCAGTTGTGCAGAGTTTGCATCTTTTTGTTGCAGGGTTGTAGGAGCTGGTCCTGTCTTTTATCTGCCAGGTAAGGTGGTACTCTTCCTTGTTTTCCTTCTTCTGCCACAGGTGTTCCGACAGTGCGGTCTTTTTTCGGTGTTTCTCGTGTCGGAAAGACATAGTGTGATTGTTGTACCGGAGCTTGAATGTTGTGTCTGCCGAGCCGATGTACACCTTTTGTTCCTCCTGGCAGGCTACGGTGGCTTCATAGACGATTTGTGTGGCTTGGCAGTGGCCATCCAGCGGACATTCCGTTTTTTTCCTGCAGTTACATGGTTTTTCTGGGCTTTTTTCCGTGAGGTGTTGTTTGTTGTGGCTGCTGATTTTGGCTGCGACGTTGGGGAGGCAGGAGTAGCTAACTTTGACGTTGTTGTGATTGAATATCTTTTTTAGCTCGCTGTTTCTGAAATGCCGGTCAATGAGCCTCAGGAATCCGGCGGCGACGTTCGTTTTCACGTTTCGGCTGAAGGGAGGGTTGAACCATATGATCTTTCGTTTTCTGTTTCGCTTTTTCCTTTCTTCTTTGTTTTGCTCCGTTGGTTCAGTGTACTGGATTTTTTCTGTATATCCACTGGCTGAGAGTGCTGCATTGTACATGGGGGCTGCTTGGTTAAATGCGTCGATGTCTGAGGAGTTGGTAGAGACACGTCTGCTGATAGCCGCCGGAAGCTGTTTTAGTATATTCGGTGGGTGGTTTGAGTGGGTATGGATGTATCTTGGTGTGTCGCCTGGCTTCCGGTGTGGTAGGTAAGCTCCCGTGGCTAAGTTGAACGTGACGTCAAGGAAATCTACCACCTTGAGGTTGGAGTCGATGGTGACACGGAGTCCGTTTGCCGTGAAGACTGCCGTCAGTTTCTTCCGAAGTCGCTCTGCAGTACCACCGGATGCGTTCTTTATGATGGCTAAGCCGTCATCACGGTAGAGGCCGATTTGTCCTTTGGGGATGTGCTCTGCGAGCTGGTTCAGCAGGTAGGCTCCGACCAGTTCGCACACCTCTGCACCATCAAACGATCCCATCGTGACATCAAACATGGATCCGTTGCCCTTCTTGATCCATGCTTGGCCGTCCTTGAATATCACGGACTTTCTTGCATGCATGACAATGTGTCTTTCTTCATCTGTGATGACAGTGTACGTTTCTGCAAAGTCGAGGGCTTTTTTGAGGAGCGTTTCGCCGATTGACGGATAATACTGGACAACATCGAAACAAACAAATGTGTGTCTGCTCTTGTCGTCTATTCCTTTGAACCAGTCGATGACAGATCCGGTGCTTCTCCAGAGGTTGATTTCCGTTGCCACACGTACAGCGCTCACCATGCGGTCGAGAATCGCTTTGCTAATGACACCCAGTTCCGATTTTGCCGGGTTAATGAGTCGGCAGGGCAGGTCGTTCTTGAATCGGTCTTTGTGATCTTTAAGAGTGATGAAAGCCTCTGATTTTGCCATAATGTCTACGCGGTCGCTGATGTTTAGCTTCTCTGCTAGCTGCTTTCGGCCAAGCATGGATCAAGAAGGGCAACGGATCCATGTTTGATGTCACGATGGGATCGTTTGATGGTGCAGAGGTGTGCGAACTGGTCGGAGCCTACCTGCTGAACCAGCTCGCAGAGCACATCCCCAAAGGACAAATCGGCCTCTACCGTGATGACGGCTTAGCCATCATAAAGAACGCATCCGGTGGTACTGCAGAGCGACTTCGGAAGAAACTGACGGCAGTCTTCACGGCAAACGGACTCCGTGTCACCATCGACTCCAACCTCAAGGTGGTAGATTTCCTTGACGTCACGTTCAACTTAGCCACGGGAGCTTACCTACCACACCGGAAGCCAGGCGACACACCAAGATACATCCATACCCACTCAAACCACCCACCGAATATACTAAAACAGCTTCCGGCGGCTATCAGCAGACGTGTCTCTACCAACTCCTCAGACATCGACGCATTTAACCAAGCAGCCCCCATGTACAATGCAGCACTCTCAGCCAGTGGATATACAGAAAAAATCCAGTACACTGAACCAACGGAGCAAAACAAAGAAGAAAGGAAAAAGCGAAACAGAAAACGAAAGATCATATGGTTCAACCCTCCCTTCAGCCGAAACGTGAAAACGAACGTCGCCGCCGGATTCCTGAGGCTCATTGACCGGCATTTCAGAAACAGCGAGCTAAAAAAGATATTCAATCACAACAACGTCAAAGTTAGCTACTCCTGCCTCCCCAACGTCGCAGCCAAAATCAGCAGCCACAACAAACAACACCTCACGGAAAAAAGCCCAGAAAAACCATGTAACTGCAGGAAAAAAACGGAATGTCCGCTGGATGGCCACTGCCAAGCCACACAAATCGTCTATGAAGCCACCGTAGCCTGCCAGGAGGAACAAAAGGTGTACATCGGCTCGGCAGACACAACATTCAAGCTCCGGTACAACAATCACACTATGTCTTTCCGACACGAGAAACACCGAAAAAAGACCGCACTGTCGGAACACCTGTGGCAGAAGAAGGAAAACAAGGAAGAGTACCACCTTACCTGGCAGATAAAAGACAGGACCAGCTCCTACAACCCTGCAACAAAAAGATGCAAACTCTGCACAACTGAAAAGGCCAGAATCCTTATTGCTGATAAGACCCTGGCACTGAACAAGAGGAGCGAAGTCGTCGCAAAGTGCAGGCACGCAAACAAGTTCCGACTCGTGAACTTCCAAGGAGTCACCTAGAATGACCAATACGCCAAATGCAACGCCCTGCCTACGTATGAGCATCGCGTGAACAGCCTGCACACTCTGCCAATTCATACACCATACCCAACGCCATATCCAACACATGCACACAGTACAAGTACAGAGCCCTAAACATTGCCACCTGAAGCCTGCTTTTTTAGCACGGAATATTCTCACCCCTATCTTAGTGCCTTCTTTCGCGCTTGCTGTGTGACTGGGTATATAACCTGTAGTGATCTAGTTGCCCTGTATCAGTTTGTGTTTCTATTGCCTGATGATTGATTCATTTCATGAAACTCAGAGTTGCAAAGAACGATGATGTATCTCTGGTGAGGACCTGATCGTGCAGTGTATATATATATATATATATAGAACAATAGAACAATAGAAGTATTTCTTGCGTCGGCAAAAAGTGCTCAATGTCCTAAGACAGAGCGGGGTTATACACATATATATATATATATATATATAATATGAGTCCTGGTGGTGAAAGTCAATTTTTCTTCAGACTTTTCCCGTTTGTCTCTTTCCCTCAAACCAGTCAATATATATATATATATAACGAAATGCTAACTATAACGAGTTAACGAGGAGAAATCTGTCGTTAAAATAGAAATCGTTATACAGAAATCGACAGATATACTGTCCTGTTGAGCGTTGAGAATAAGTAAGAGTCGTTACCTTTGGTACGCGTAAACCAGTCAATTTTTGGGAAATCGTTATATATGCGCCTCGTTAGAATAATGGCTTTTACAGTACTTCATAACCCGTGTGTTCTTCTCTATTTTTACATCGTATTAGGGGCCGTCCGGGGTTACCGATTGTTTTTACAAAACGAAAAGTTTTAGTATTTTTCAGCCCCCACCCACCTTTTCTGCAGGTAAGACGAATTCCAATAAAATATTGATGTCAATTTTCGACACCCAGAAGTAACTGGGCATTCTCCATCAGCATTCAATAATTATTTTCAAAACGAAACTCCATCAAACCCACCCACCCACAAACGAAAACATTTCGTTTTGAAAATATGATTGGTAACCTTGGACGGCCCCTTAGACAATGGCACGAAATAGAGGTTGCGACTTCGGCGATGACAATGATCAACTCAAGTACCGGACACAATCTCTACTTCCACCAGCAGCTGTAAAGGTTTTACGCTTACCAGTATGTTTACGGCTATAAGCCAACCCTTTGTGACCTAAAAATAAATAAAAAAGAGGTTGTCGACATATGACTGGAATCTACCTGCTTTTGGTCTTGCAAGTATTGATAATAGGCCTAATCGATATTGTACCGGTCAATCGAGACCCTAAATATTGATGGGGGGGGGGGTCGACGTATAACTGGTAAAATATGGTACGTCATCACCTGAGATGATTTATAAGTACTGGCAAACTGTGCCCTACAACTTAAGCATGACTTCCACATCTATCGTAAAGTCATGCATAATAGCCGTGGCTTACTGTAACTCAACAAATATTCGGCGCATATTTATTTTCGGCTATTTTCGGCCTGGTCATGTTTGGCCGAAAATTTGTTGCGGCCGAAATTTTGTTTTGCAAGGTTCAATGTCACACACACACACACACACAGGCGGCAGCAGTACTGGCCGACAATTTGATGCGGCCGAAATGGGGTTTAGCCCTGGGAGGCCGCAATTTGTCGACTTACAGCATATGACTTTCTTGGAGACAGTTTGCAGGCTGCTGTACAAGACAGGTGTTTATATGTATGTCAACACTAAAACCAGCCTTATGTACCGACAGTGTATCTTGAAAATTAGGCTTCAGGCCGGGATCACACCAAGTGCGATTCAGCCATTCAGCGGAAAAAAGCACTTTTTGAGGTCATCGTTGCTACAGAAACCGCTGAATTTCAGAATGTTCAGCGGATCACATGGGTCAATGTGACCAACCGCTTCATTGAGCACAAGCCTTGCGGAAGCTGAAAACGGCTTGTTCTGTGTGACCGCGGCCTAAAAGGGGAAGTTCAGTATTTTGGCTCTCCATTGCCCCAAAGTCGAATCTTTTTCAAACCCCGGTACGGGATGCATGGCACCCTGCCGGTATCCCAACTGGAAAAATCTAGTATGAAATTCATTGTTGCAGAGAAACAAGAAATTGGTTTTTCCCCATCTACTCCCATACAAAGTCTATCTCTCTGACGTCATAAATCCGGCCTGGTCTGGGCCCGTTAATGACGTCATCATGATGTCACCAAATTTAGTGCAAACTTCTAGCAGGTGTACCTCCAGAACAGCTGCGCCGATCAACCTGAGACCTTCACCATTGGAATCAGTGCATTTCCCGCTACAGGTTGTGAAGTTTTCATTTTAGGGTGAACTTCCCCTTTAATACAAGACACTACGGTATACGAACGTGCCTGGTATAAATAATACACGTACATTGTCATACTGTGGTGAATGATCTTGAAACGTCAACTCTCAACCTCAGTTTAAACACATGCATGTAGTACAGTCAAACCTCGTTAGGACGAACACTGATAAGGCGAACTTTCCATCAGTACGAACTCGGGCCAATACTAGGGTTGGTCAGGCATCAATTCAAGTCAACATTATTCGTTTACGACGAACTTCTGTACAGCGAACTTTCGCGAAGACGAACTATTTTCAAGTGTGATTTGAACAAAATCAGTGTGGTCATGTACTGTAGCGGACATGGAAATCCAGTCGATTGACCGGGGCCGGCGCCCTCAGCGTGTACAGAACGCTGCGTGCAGTGCATTATGTTGATCCGATGCGACCAGGGCGCTGCATGCAGCGCATAAATGCATGTGTGTACCACTTTCCACGGCTGCATGACCAGCACCCTGGGGCCGCTAGACGTGCGACCGGATTTCCATGACCACAACAGTACAATCATGTAGTACGAACTTTCGGTCCACGGTACGAGCGTGCTCTGGTTGCCTTTTTTGTTCAGTGCAAATTGTTTTCAAGCGTGTTTTGAACAAATAATCAGTGCGTTGTACGAACTTTCACACAGTCATGATTCATTGGCATTGCACATTGCCATTGTACGTACCTGTTTCTGGCTTATGCTAAGAATAAAATGCTTCCCATATACAACAGCATGCACCTTCACGTAATTACAGTCCATATGATATGCATATCGATTTTTTTGTCAGATCTGGATAAAAAGAACTCCCGATAAGACGAAACAAATTTGTTCAGTCCCTTTAAGTTCGTCCTAACGAGGTTTGACTGTACATCAGGGAGTTGTAGCGGACAGGGAGGCGACACGGGCATCTGCAACGCTAAATCGTGCGGGTTTCGACCCCGTGCAGCCCGTTACAGTCACCCTTGGGCCAGGGCCAATGTAACCAGGCTCGCACATGGCATCGCCCATCTGAGCCATGCTTGGGGTCGGCAGGTCAAGCTCGCAACCGCAAGGTCCACAGACCACGCACCCAGTAGAACTTCCAAACCCGGGGTCGAAAAGCGCATGGGCTGGGGCACTACCATCTCGTGTTATCTCTCGGTATGCTACAACTTCCCCGGTGCGCACGCACAAGAAAAACCTCTCAAAAACAAATTTTGAATGCTATTGTTTACGGCTGGAGATGCCACAAAGTCGCCAAGAAGCCCTCGTGTGACCTCCACTGTAGCAATACAGCAGCAGCTGCCCTAGTTTGCAGCTAAGGAAATCGCATTCAGTACGGCACAACTTACACATGGAGATGCCCACTACCACCAGGAGCGGTGAGAAATTGAACGACACTGTGCCATGCTCTTTGATGTGTGGCCACCAGCCGGTACGCGTCTCCCACACTCCATCGCCGCCCATGTGTACGCCCATTGTAGCTTCCAGGCTGCTAGTGGCACTGGACGGTGTCAGGATAGCGGGACTGAACGCAATGTTGGAGATAACCAGGCTGGAAAACACACACACACGCGCGTGCGCAAACACGCGCATTGGATCAACATGACAAGAATTATTTTTATTATACTTGAAGTAGCCTATTCATATTACGTTACAATACACATCAAGTTTTGGAATTCCACGTACTGGCAGACGTCATTTTCATGCAGGTGCATTCACACAGGCATGGACACGCTTTTCGTACAGGTTTGCGTAAAGCTTTTTTTGGACACAAACTGCCGGGAACGACAGAACGATTCTCGGTACAGTGGTCTGGATACGTCGTCTACATTTTCGAATCAGGAGATCAATTTTCCCGCCACGTTCCACGTTGTCATCACTCATGGCTATTCGGACGAAAACGTCATGCACGCCACGTTTTGGGCGTAGAGTGAATGGCCTATTATAGGCCTTTCACATGACGGGACAAAGTCACGTCTGTTCGGGCTCGCAGGCGGATCACAAAGGCGATCATCAAATGGCGGGAAATCTGAATCCGTAGACCCGACGGTCTGCCCGCGGCACCCTGACCCCCTGGCTGTGCGTTTTCGTTTTCGTGTTTCCTGTACTGGTTTGGCTTGTGTTCGCGATCGCGTCTTCTCACTGAGCGTTTCCTGAACAGCAGCACAGGTCCGACTTTCTGAACAATGGCCACCCGGACATTCAGCCCAGAATCCGAAAGGATGCTTATCGAAATCTACTGCTCCCTACTTGAATCGACTGATAAAATGATGATGAGGCGAGCAGCGAAAGAAGACAAAGCAACAAAACGGCTGAACGGCCAAAAGGGATTTGGGAAATCGAACGAGGCACTCCAAACCCTGTAGGTTGTGAGCCGATTGCCCTGTCCGGACCCAGTAGCCCAAGACCACGGAAAACAAACAGCAAAAATAGAGCAAAGCTACGCGGATTTGTCAAATCCATGGTCCCAAAAATCCAGTCAAGAACGCCAAAGCAACAAAGTCGTCTTTTCAGTCTTGTTCTACTCCAACATCAGGCAAAGAGAGTTCCCGGGAGGCATGAAAATAAAAAAATATTTTGATTTATTTCCATCAAAACACGTGCCTCCATTACAATTACCTAGGCAACAGTCAAATCGTGACCGACTCGCGTGCGCCGTGTCGGCAGAGCTAGTCGCCGTGTGAAGTGTCTTGCCGTGGATCGTAGAACCATGGTATCGTGCAATCGTGAGCACGAACCTTCGTGTGACAAGGCTATTAGAGAGGTTCCAAAACGTGGGTCCATTGCATGAACTTTATGTGTATCACTCACGTTCCTGAATCCGGTACTTGTAACTTAACCTCCCTACTATGTAACGGCATGCAGCGTGAGTCAGCAGAACAGTATATGCGCGCGGGAGTTGCTAGCTCGCAACGGCATCATTGCGATGTGACCTTGCCAAAGCACCTCAACTGATGATGTACTTGCATAACCTCTATACCACTAAACTATATGGTCACAATACTACTATGAGATCTCTACTCCAAGGCACGAGGGCTATTCAGTACTGGGTGGAACAATGCATAACTTTGCACAAAATCGCCCCGATGGCTAGGACCAAGAGTCCACAACTCGCTTCTCGGAGTATGCACCTCTATGCACGGGGTCTGGCGTGGTACGCTGCTGATGACATTGCGAAGGCATAAACTGGGGAATCAGCTCGGCCATTGTGTCGATATTGATCACATTCTGCTACGGTCTGGAGCTTCCACGCATGGGCGGTTCATTCTCTCTCTCTCTCTCTCTCTCTCTCTCTCTCTCTCTCTCTCTCTCTCTCTCTTTCTCTGAGACTCTGGACGGCTTCCAGGGTGATGCAATCGTGTACAGGCATAGCCATTGTATCCACCGTACTTGTGCTGTGTCTACTATGCACGTGAAGCAAGAGTACATAACCCCCAAGAGTGTGCAACTCCACTATGGGTGCTGTCCCGACAGAATTTCAAGTTGACGTCATTTTGATGATGCAATGCGCACTGTACACGGATTATCAGACGAATCCGGAACCTGTGGTTGACCGAAGCCGATCGATCCTGTACAAATTATTACAAAGAAAAACGTGTGATGCGTTGACACCCGTACACATGTTGTAAATCACTGGTGCAAGGAGCATTGCGTCATAAATAATGACGTCAACTTGAAATTCTGTCGGGACAGCAGGGTATGTGGGAGTTGCACACTCTGGGGGGTTATGTACTCTTGACGTGAAGTCATCCATCTAAACTGAATGGGAAAATACTGAAATCCAGTCAGCCCGGGCACATCATGGCACAATCTAACAAAGGCAGCTTGCCATGCTGAGCAACCATTGCTCGGAGATCAGAGATCGCTCTTGGGGGGGGGGGGGGGGGGGCATGACTCTTGCACATATTCAAGCACATAGCTTACCTAGAGAGGTCCATGTCTATATTGATGCCACTAATGTGATATTTCACCGCCGGAATCTTGTAAGATAAGATGTCTTTCTTCAGCAGTGGCTCCAACTTCTCCTTGAGCACTGCATGTCAGTGGCAACAAGACAGTACAGTCAATAGTATGGTGCATGGGTGCAACCACATACAAACACACACACACACACACACACACACGAGAATTGAACGACCAAGACACACATTTCCGGAGTATGGTCCGCCATGCGACACTTATCCTAGACTGAGATTTCAACACTTTGCTAGTCACATCAATTGGTATTCGAATCGGGACCTATATCGCCGCAGCGTAGATCTACTCGTATAAACGGCGAATTGGACCTTGAGTACATTCAGCGAAACTTCGTGCGATAGCTACTTTCAGGTGATGTACATAAACTTTCAAAAATGCATACGAAACAACAGGATTAGCAGTACATGTACATTCTTTTGGTGGTCTTGCTGGAAGCTAGAGAGCTTACTGAAGTCGAAGAAACTTTGGTTCATTCTCACGATGATCCCGGGATTGCCATTAGCTGAGGCCAAGCAGCCAAGCAGCACGAGCAAAGCGCACAGTGGGGCCATTCTCTCCAACGGATACTAGACACGACAGGAATGCACCTGCCGTTTTCCTGGGTATGACCGATTACTCTTCCGCACGGAAAGATCAACAAGGAACAACACGACACGGCGAGAAAGGAGGCGCGCCAGATGATCTACTACTTTCTTCCTTCTGACGTTCTGTTGAAGTCTTGACTCTTGTCGAAAGTCGAACCACTGTCGACGTCACTGATCGATTTTTGTCGTACCGTACTACTGCCAGTACCAAGTACTGGTCGTAGCTACATTGGAAAGGCTTCTGAAGCCTTTCCATACTGGTACGCGCTCGTACTCGTACGATGTTCCAGTTTTGTGACACGAGAATGGCACGAGAATTAGTGTACCGCTGAGTGTACACGGCTGTTAGCTGCACTTGGATCGCGGCAACTTTGTTTTCTGCACGTGAACCATGAAAAATCAATGCATGCTCATGCATGTTCATGCATAACCAGTCAGCTGGCCTGCTCGCCCACGCATTTGACAGGTAACAATTCCATCAAATTTGAGATATCGCTTCGTTCTAAGTCTCAAAACAGTTCTAAAGTCACCAAACCACGCTGGTAATCGATGGCTATTCAATGTTAACATCTTCAGGAAGACTTCAGCCGTTTCCCGAGAGTTTGGGCATCGTTGCCGTTGTTTTTCACGGTGTTCTTCTTCCTCCTGTCTGGAGCTGCAATTGCATCCTGGAATTATTTGAAAGGTATTTCGTGCGGGCTATGGGGGGTTCCAACAGGCATAAACTGACATCGCTATAGGATAACTGGTAACTTTCACCCTTCAAGGAGGTAGAGCAATGAGAATTTTTTTGTGGCGGTCGTCCAATTTTTGTGGCGGTCGTGGCTGTATTTGTGCACTTCCAAGGCTTTCATTCTGCTTGATACTACTCTCTACTGTATGGGAATCGTTGTTTAGGCACATGTAGCTGTCTTATTTGGTAGATCTGCTGTTTTCAATCACTTGGGACAATTTGTCTAGCCTATTTGTCTTTCGTTCGTGCCATCTATCAGTTTTGTGGGGTGCCTTGACCTGTATTTGTGAAGTTCTCGAGTAAAGACCCTAATTCTTGACTGGAGTCACGTCTTGAATTGAATTTGCTGGGCGAGCCCTCGTTCACGCAGTTGTCCTTATCGTAATAGTCAATATCTGCTTGCTGGACGGACTAGCGGCTAGAATAGGGATGACCAAATGGTCCAAGTGTGTACTAGTACACGATTATTGTTTCCATCATCGTGAAATGAGCGTTGTGGAATTGCAGTCGTCTGCCTTTGGCACTGAGGACATGAGGAGAGTTGATTGTTACTTCTGCTCAGCAATGAAGCGATCATCAGCTCTCTTTGTTCTAATTATTGAGAGGACATACCGGCATCGTAATCAAGTAAAGATTAGGCAAACCTCGCCTACCTCCAAAGAGAGTCGAAGATATTTTCTCCAAATGCAAAGACGATCTTTGTGAGTTTGTGACTTGCATTTGCGTGCATACATGAGCAGGTCACGGACCACGGCACGTGCGCGGTTACCATGCCATCTCGAACCGACGCCATCTTTCTAAGTTGCCGCTTCTTGACAGCCGTGTGTACCGCACTTGGTCGACACTTATTTTTGTCTTTGTTGATACTTTTTTGACACGTGACCCCGTCAACGGTCTGCTTTGTGCCAATGCCACTCGGTAAACGCCGATGTCGCGTACGACAAAGACGACTATCCCGTACGCGAAATAGTTGAGAACTGCATGACGTGGAGTGGGAATTCCTTCCGGCACCCCCGTACCGCAAAGCCAACGGTGGGGAAGGAGAAGTGCAGACGTGTTGTAGGAAGACGAACGAGGAGGAACTAGGACGAGCGAGCAATGGCAGGACTAGCTGGACTGTAAGTAATAGCTGAATTGTGCATGACAACTTGACATCCATGCGGCACTCGCCACTTGCCACTGCATATTTCTTGTCCACTAATAACATACCGCGGTGACTTTCACCATCATGACAGCAGGGCACATCGCACGCAGCATCGCAGATCGTGTCGAATTGCGCATCATAATATTGCAAAATTGCTCCTGTGCATGCAAGAGGATTTCATTGCACTTCTCAGTTTGGGAAATGCTCGATTATGACAATTCTGCGTGTGAGTGCACTACAGTCCATTTCAAAACTATAGACGCGTACCTAGGCAAAAACCGTTATGCCAGCATCTATACCACATAAAATCTGTGATCACTTTGTGCATAAATTTTTCCAAATTGGGCGTCTGTTATCCAATCGTTTAGAAACTATATGAGAGCAATTGTGGAGCGATCCTGAGCAATATTCCGAAAACTATTCTCAAAACGTTCCAGCCAAATTTGAAATATTTCAAAAACCCTACGCGTCTATAGTTTTGAAATGCACTGTACATTGTAGCCCTGAACATACATGTAGATGACCCGTTTGTGGTGTCTCATAGCCTACCTCACGACCTTCTGCTTTCTTTCTTCATCACTTGTATCTTACAGGTATATCATCCCGTGATGACCACATTGAAGTCTGAATTTGAAGTGTGAAGATGCTTCAGCAACCACATCGTATAGTAGTTTCCATTGCTTTCATTGTGCTTCTACTGTGCATGTGTGTAATTTGTGGGGTAAACATGTGATGACATTGTATGCTGGCGACACGGTCAGATGTTGTCCATGCGTCTAACGTACGCCTGCATGTTATGCATAGAAAAGGATTTGCCACTTGCGATCCTGGGACGAGTATCAGGTCAGCTTTGTCCTGTGTGGGCTGTATCAGATTGCTGTTCACTTCTCTATCTGTTGGATGTGTGACTTTCTGCAAGTTTCTGGTGTATGATGGCCACTTCCTTGCTTGTCACTTTGTATGATATTACATTCTGTATTCGCTGCTTCCATGGCGTGGTCTGCAAACTGCAATCCTTGGGCAAATGTCATGTTTGCTATGTTGTGCTTTGGCCGTCAGCTTGTCTACACGCTGTAGTTGAATTATTTTTGTTTCACAACTGCACTGACTTCCTCAAGTACGGTGGCCACTGCTTTGCATGGCAGTATACATGAAGAATTTCCTGTTTGTGTCGTGTGCATGTGCGTATGTGTGCGTGGCCACGTGCGTGTGCCGTGTGCATACGCATGTTTGTGTATCTGTGTGCGGGGTAGCCAGGCGGGGAGGGTAGGGCAGCTGGTATGTATCACTAATAGTATCAGTGTGTTATTGATTGTACAGTCGTGTACCCGTTTCTTTTCTTTGGCTTTGATAATGGTTATACCCTTGCTTTACTCTTTCCCGACACACAGGTCATCTCTTTGAGTAGGAGATGCCCTTGACAGGCCTGGACTAGAGCATCTAGGTCATGCATAGCGCTCATTAGAGCAAATACTGCCAAATAGGCGCCCGCGTCCTGTCGATCCTGAAAGCCCGGCACACAATCATCAATAATAATAATTTTGTGCAATGTTCTGGCCGACTGACGTCATTTTGGGGAAAGTTGCTGCATTTGGCCCTTAGCCTTTAGGCTTTATACTTTGGCCAAGTAGTTTGGGAGGTCGATAGCTTTGACCTTTCGACCTTTGACCCTTTCCTCTGGGAACAAACTGATGTAGCATCAATCCAAGCCCGATTGGTGTCATTTAGGGGAGATCGCTGCGTTTGGGAGATCCACAGTTTGACCTCTCGTGCGAGTCGTGGCGACGTCTGATCCAAAACGCATGTAAGAAATCCAGGCACACCACCAAGTTTTGGCCTTTGTCTGCATAATAAGCCATAATCAATCTGATAATGGCTGAGCTCGAGATCTGAGATGAGGAATCAGCTGGATCCTGCACAAAATCCCAGGCCGCGGGATCCCGGGAGCCGTTTCGGGGCCTACCTGGACCCTCTACTCGAGCTCCGTCCTCACTCCGGCAAAATTTAGCCGACAGCATGGCATCCAGTCCACATGTTTTTTTATCACAGATAATTAATTTCCCTGGAAATGACTGCAGATCTACTTTGTACGTTGTACGAGGTGATTTGTAAAAATTTTACATGGCATATTATTTTACAAATCGAGTAAAATAGCATTGTTGAGGGCGATTGCATTCTTCCCATGAATTGTTTTTGTTAGTTCGACAGACAAATGAGTTGCCATTGTATTGTAGTTTGTAAGCATCAGCAGCGTTTTGCGGAATTGTTTTCTTCCACGGCCTTGTGAGTTATCAATCATGGATCGAAATTCGTGAATTTGTGGTCAATGAGGTAAAATATCCCTCAATGGATACTTGAAGGACGTCCAAGAGCCAGAGAGCATATTCTACGGCAGGTGGAAACCCTAGGCTGGTCCCCGAGGCCGGTATTGAGTCTGCCACACCGTCAAGAGTAGCAGGGCTGAAGAAGAGATTAGCCAAAAAGGTGATGGTCAGAAACTGCAATTTTGACAGTAGGTGTATTTCACTCACCCGTCATGAACTTGAGGTGATTCAAATCCAAGTTCGAAGCTGCTGATGCTTATGGCGTACAGGTAAAATAATTAGCTGGTCAGTAGATCTACGTATGAAACTCAGCTTGCTACCTTAGACGTGCTGGTAGAGATTCACGACGGCAAATAGCAAATGCAGAAATGATGTGGCATGAATGTATGTTGGGTGTTGACGGCGGAGCACCCATTGAGGGTGGTCTGCAGTCTTCTTCCAACACAGAAGTATATGAATCAGGTGAAGGAGTCACTGCACTTGTCTTGGAGAGTATGGAAGCTCCGACACTGTCAGTAGGTGCTGGTTAAGTGCACTGTCGTTCAGATGCACGAGGGCACACTGTCGTGGGACGGCTGGAACGCATCATGGCTGGTATGTTTGATTAGTGTGGTTGTTTCACACATGACGATGAATAGCAAGTTGAAAGAATGGAGCAGCAAGATAAGGTCTGCGTGCTCATGCTCTACAATGCCGGTAGGCGGTCAAAGATTACCTACCGTTTGAACCGGAGTTGACGACGTACCGTGAGAAACCAATATGTTGAGCAACCTGCAAAACCAATCTGCTTTCTCTGCATGTGACTTGCTTCAGATATATCTTGATTTCCCATTGCAAGCTTATTGACACATTTAGGTCATATTTGTTGATGTTAGACCCTATTTTACTGACTTGTAAAATTTTGTACACACTTTTTCTGGGTGAAAAAATGCATGCAAAGCAACCCCACGCTGTGTCTCTCATGTTTGTGTTGTGCGATCAAGAAGTTTATATATGGATAGAGGACATACAGAGTGACAAAATGAGACCATGCACACTTCAAAACTCGCCAGGGCAACGGAATGATAGCCTTTTTTACTTTCATGTAAAATTATTACAAATCACCTCGTATTGAATCATTGTAGTTTTGGGCAGTCCAGGATCGAGTGTGTGCTTTGTGGAAAGGGTCGACGGTAGACTCAGACTAGTCAGAGTAGACTACAGCCCACCTCGTACACAAACATGATTGTTCTGGCAAGAGCTGTCAACTACTGCTACGTAGATCTAGTGCTAGTAATAAAGATTATTGTGTGACTATGACTCATGAGTATGACTACAGCCTGGCTGTCAGTTACTACCAGCGTTTCCTGTACATTGTAGACCCTGGTAGACTCTAGCTCTACAGCCTCTCTACTCTCACTCACTGGAGTTTTGGCCTTCGAATCTAGCATTTCGCTCTCTCTCTCTCTCTCTCCCGGATGCACAGAACTGCCATCTGTTCCTGTAGTATAGATAGCAAGCTGTCCCACTCGGCATTTTGTTGTCGACCCGGGACTAGCAGCAGTGCTATCATGGCTGAATGTGTGACAGCAACGGTCGCGGTGCCATGGAATAGCTCATGTTCAAATAGCTCTTCAAAGTGAGTCATTTCGGAGACATCTCTCTTTCGATTATATTTTACTACGGCAAGCCTGCACCAACGCTGGCCGATGTCCGAGAGTGTTGCAATTTCGGAGACACCGGCCAAGTAACTTGGGGGAAGTTGTGCTTGCGTAGGGCAAGAATGAAGCTGCTAGCGATGAGCTATTCCGCAGTTTGCGTGGCTGTGTTGTGCATGTACTGCTGCTGTTGCCGCGCAGTCACAGGCATTACGGACATGAACCAGGCTATGCTGGTGCGAATGGATGAAAATACAACAAACAATAACTCGTCCAAGGTACGTCAATGCATGTTCAACTAGGGCACACGTGTAATACCGCTGGATATAATTAATTTTCAAACACTACAGGTTCTACAAACAATCAACTTCATGGCTGCAGGTCTTTTCCAGATATATCTGGTAACCTGCATTGTTTGAGAATGAATGCAGAGTAGCAAGCTTGCACTGTAAATAAGCAAGTTCTGTAGCGGTGTGCAGGCAACCAAATCATGGTCAGGCGCGTGCTCGGCGATGGGCACGGGGGGCACGTGCACCCCCCAAAAATTTTCAATCTGGGTAATTGCAATAATTGTAATGTATGCAAATATGCTTTAAAATTCAAGAAAGGTTGCAAACAAATTGCAGAAAATTGCCGGGGGGGGGGGCTCCCCTCGGCTCCCGTGCACCCCCCTAGTTGGGGGGCCGAGCACGCCCCTGATGGTCTAGGACCATGCCTCAGAACTAAAGGGTACCAGGTTCAAGTCACTGCTGGGAGCAGGAAGGATTCCCCACTGGTGCTGCAACCCACGATTGATTGGGAACTCGTGACCAGGCACGAGGGAAACATGGACGGAGCGAATGGGATTTTCGGTCTTTGACCACGTTTGTTGAGTCTGATCTAGTCACTTCCCACCGCCGCAGTTTAGGAGCTGCATCTGCACCTTGACCCCTGGCTGCCTGATGGTAGTGGTATTCCTATGGACAAGGAGAATTCCTACTGAGTCTCAAGTAAACTGTGATTTTTTCGACCTCTTCGGAGGGGAGGGCTGGAAGAGTTGTTATTATTATTTCAATTTTGTTTTTTTTGGGGGGGGGGGGTAGTGTTCACTTTTTGTATGGTATCTCCCTTTTCGGTTTACTACCACCATTCCGCGCATGTATATATGCAGCAGCATAGAGGTACTGGCTTCAAAGCCCTGATGACGTCTCAGTCTGTCTGTGGTACACGTATGTGGTATGTGTGTATGTATGCGCATGCGTGTGTGTGCGTGTGTGTATGTGCATGTGTGTGTGTGTGTGTGTGTGTGTGTGTGTGTGTGTGTGTGTGTGTGTGTGTGTGTTCCCTGCCCGACAGATCTACTGCAAGGATGTTCACGTTCACAATACTAGTAACCAGTGTCGGTTTGTGGAGACCACGGACGACTGCGCCATCGCCGGTGGTTTTATCAGCTATCTCGAATTGCCCTACTGTCATCTGAATAGCAATCTTCAACCACTAGCCATGGTTGTTCTCTTCCTTTGGCTGGTTAGTGAAGATCATCTTTATTTTTATTTATTATTTATTTATTTACTGTCTGCACTTCATGGCACATGATGAAAATAGCCACTACAAGGAAGTGAGGGTGAAGCCAACTACGGACCGAGGGCAAAATGCCAAAATCCCCATTCACTGTGTGCAATGAAATTGAAAACTACAGTCGACTTCACTTGTAACGATCTCGCAAATATCGAAGTTCGTGATATAGCGAACCGTTGTCCATGTCCCAGTAGTTTGAACCCACTGTGTAAGTACATTGCTATAACAAACTTTGGCTATGCTATAAAAAGACTAGTTCTCCTGCACAACGGTGTTCGTTATATCAGGAGTCGACTGTATGCTGCTAAACCTGCCCAGGCGACCAAGCTGATACTAGTAGCACGACCACCTATGTCCGAGGACCAGGTCAGAAGGGTTCCACCCCCACCCATAGGTTTAGACTGGACAAGGGCAGCTGCATCGTGTCAGATTCCCCGTCACTGAGATGTTTTAGGACTGTATAACCTGCGGCTCGGGTGACCTTTGTAGTTTGAGACTGGTGCGTACTGCACGTGGATTGGCAATTTTACACCCCCCCCCCCTCTCTGCATACATTCAGAGCAGCGTAAAATGGTTTCACTTTCCGAGACTAGGTTTCTGGCACATGCCTCCTCGGTGGCTGTTTTTGATTTTCAGCTGCATATACACTGAAACGTTCCCTCAGGAAAACACTGTGGGAGCTATCATTTAATTTATCCAGCTTATGTGATCACGCCATCATCAGTTGAGATGCTTCAGCAAAGTCGCGGCACAGCAATGCGCTAGCGACTCGCGCTGCATACCTAGCGCCCGCAAGTGGCTACGCTGGATCACGCTGTATACGTTCCCCCGTCCTTAAGCTGGTCCGCTGACTCACCACCGCGACTTCATCCACATAACGTCTATTCCGATTACTACTACAGTAAAGCCTGGTTTAACCCTTTGGAGCCCATTGGAGTACATTCAAATATCGACGGTATACCGTCGATGGACTAAAACGTTCGTAACTCACTCGAAAATTGACGGATTTCGACGACCAAAATATCTGGGAAGAAGCCGAAGAGCTCAGCTTTCTAATGCAATAATTGCCGAAGAGCTACGATGTCGCGTCGCAGAGATATCGCGCTCGACATTTCAGTCAAGGCAAAAGTCGGAACTGTTTTCTCAGTGACTGGCCTTGAGAGAGGGATTTTCCCTTGGATGACATGCTGATTCATCCAGGCACGCTTCCTGCACGTGGCCAGCATAAAACTAAACTCAGCGCAAAAAAATAAGCGATCCGCGATGAATGAGAGTGAAATGGCTGGCGTCGAGTTAATTTGCTCGTATATCCAGCTCTGTGGACTATTCGGGGCGCCGTGGCGTTGGATATGTGACTCCTGTGGTGTTGAATTTGAGCTCTAATTACTCTGCTCGCGGAGAGCTTTCCAGGAAGCCCAAGATAATGGAAATCCAATAACGAACACCAAAGTTATGCCCCAAATAGGGTAAAGAATATATCGCAATTGCAGTTGCATACAATTATCAGGGTTATTCCCGTAGCTATGCAGAAGACGTTACTTCAGTAACGTCTGGCGCTAGCCAGGGTCCACACAGCTTTAATTTGGTATTTGTTTGTGTGTTTGTTTGTTTGTGTCACGCCTGGCGCTATCCGTATCTGACGGCAAAAAAGCATAGGATGTTATAAATTTTTCAATTCTCCTATTTTTTTTCAGGCATATCCTGGGATTCGAACCCGCACTATCGCCCTACATGCATTCCCCCATACACTTCGCATTCATACCCATTCTTCCAAGTTGCTTCACGTTATTATCTTGCGTTTGAAAGCCCTATTTGAATATTGCGGGCAGCTGTATGTGGCCAGCTGTGTTTGATGGTACGGTACGGTACGGGAGACGGTGTCGTATTACCCTCGATCGTACCTGTCCCGTACCTATCCCCTACCGTACCGTGCCATCAAAGACGGCTGGCCACAATGCATATTCTATTCAAATAGGGCTTTCAAATGCAAGATCACAATGTGAAACAACTTGGAAGAATTAGTATGTATGCGAAGTGTATCGGGGGATGCATGCAGGGCGCGCGATAGTGCGGGTTCGAATCCCAGGTTATGTCTAAAAAAAAGGATTTTTTTAAAGAATTTATAACATCCCTATGCTTTTTTTGTCTAGGTCATCAAGGCAAAAAAGCATAGCGTAGGGCCCTGAGCTTCCAAGCTCTCTCGTTTGGGGTCGCCAGGTGGTCTTTAGAACCAGGTCCCACAGTGTCTGTGTAGAACTGTCGGTGCATGGAAAAACGGTCGTTGAGAGCAGGTGGTCACTAAACACAGAGGTCGCTTACACCAGCTTTTACTGTACATGTATGCCCAGGGAGTAATAAAATACATCGGTTGTGATTTCGTACTACTGCCTGGTATGCCCGTTCAGTTCTGTTATTGGTTTGTGCTGTTTGCGTACTTCCCATTCTCTCTTACACAGCTCTATCTGTTTTTAGCTATTGGCGTGACGGTGGAGTACTTCCTGTGCCCGGCCCTGTCCGTCATCTCCAACACACTGGGTCTCAGCGAGAGTGTAGCAGGCGTGACGTTCCTGGCCTTTGGCAACGGAGCGGCGGACATATTCAGCTTGTTCGTGCTCATAACGACGGTAAGTCACCGTATTCGTATTTTTGTTTAGGATTACCCAGGGGCTCTAGGCTTGTCGACGGGATCTCCAACTCAGAGAAATTTCGTGGGTTGGGGAAAGAGTACAAAGAAAGAAAACAAAGGAAAGAAGCAAGGCTCTTTGTCCTGCAGTATGTGCCTCACAATTACACTCTCAGTACCAGTCACATTTTTTTCACGATTGCATGCAATGCCTCTTTTTTATTCGGCACAGCTGGGAGCCTATAATGTACTTGGTCCGACTTATTAAAAAATGTGCGTTTCGATTCTAACGTCAACCAAACAAATTCAAATAACCTCAGGACGGAATAAACTTTCCAGCTACCTAACACTATCCTTCAGTTGTCAATTTGTGATGTTGAAGAAGAAATGGCTCCAACTCCAACGGAGGTAGCGGCTCGGGATCCTAGTCGACTCGAGCATTTTACGTCCAAATTTTGTCGTCAGAGGACTCCTGTTGCTTCTCGCGCAACACAGAGAAGGCCTGGTGCTGAAATCAGCACCCCGCTGCGATGGGGGATTGTCACGGAGTACCAGAATCTCCTGGGCGATCGTTCTCGAGTGCCTCCTGGCGGATTGAAATCGCTGCAATCGCTGTTTTCTTGGCAGAATTTCAGCAAACGCGTCATCCAGAAACTCGTGCAGAAAGCACCAGCATCGCTCCGTCCAGTTTGCTGATCTCTCTTGCAGTCGTTCACGATGTGGCGGCCAACGAATCAAGATCACAGAAGAGATCGTCGAGAAGTTGTTCGAAATAAATAAAAGGCCTTGAGGTCGACTTTCAGGCGACAACCTGGCTGGAAAACTGGAGTGCAGAAAGGGTGAATTATCCGGCGGATACGGTGCGGAGTCCTCGGATCCGCGCGCGGAGCCGCGATCGCGATGCGTCACAAGATCGCTAATCTCCGGGGCCAGTGGATTCGTGAAACAGGCAGGGAAGAGCACGCGTAGACCTACGCATGGTCTGACTGCATGACATGTCGACACAGCTCAGACTCATTACACGCACGGTACACGGTGGTCAGAAGTGATTTTTTTTATGCTTGGTGGTTTACTTGTTCGCCTCATTTGAAGGTGTCGTGGGAGCTTCAGGCGAAAACACCAACAGCCACCATTCTGATAGTCGTACTACACGAGGAGGAGGCGAAGTCGATCGTGTAAATCGTGCCTATGGAGTGAAAAAATCAAAGAAGCGCAGTGTTGCTTGGAGGAGATGAAAAAATGTCAACGTGTTGCAGGTTGATGCACTTGCAGATGCGCCCTGAGACACCAGCAGCGATGAAAACTAGAAGGTCAGGCCAAGAAACGACACAGTAGTTATCTATCTACTGTCTCTTGGTTGATTTTTTAGTACAGTTGCTCGTTTGTACATATGCTTGAGTTTTGAAGTGAAGCGCACATTTTAATAAGTCGGACCAAGTATACCGTAAAAGCCCCTGTATACGCCCACTCGAAATTACGCCCACCCTTCGTGTACAGGCCCAGTCAAGGGAAGTCAACACTTTTGTTTGGAAATAGCGCCCATGCCCATGTACACGCCCAGGTATGCCGGAAACACCAGTACATGTACAGGTACTGATACCCAATACTTACTGCTATCCCTATTCCAAGTATACGCCCGGTTCCAAAATAACACCCGTGCCCTTGTATACGCCCAGGAAATCGAGGCTGCTATTCTATACGCTCGGGGCCTATACACGGGCTTTTGGTAGTCGAGTACGTGGGATAGAAGTGTTTTCAAAACTTACACACTAGCCACTAGTTTCAGTCGATGTCGTGATGACAGGAATTGGTTGTAGGCGATATGTACGCCATTCATGCCAGCATGTCAACATCGTTATTGTTGCTGTTCTTGGTGTTGTCCCTGTCGTCGTTGTCATTGTCGTCGTTGTTATTCTCGCTGTTGTTATTGTTGTTGTTGTTGTTGTTGTTGTTGTTGTTGTTGCTGCTGCTGCTGCTGCTGCTGCTGCTGCTGCTGCTGCTGCTGCTGCTGCTGCTGCTGCTGTTGTTGTCGTCGTCGTTGTTGTGTGTGTGTACAGGGTGATCAAGACCCGGTACGGGCCGAGACCGGCATGGGTGCTATACTTGGCGGTGGTCTGTTTGTGACATCGGTCGTTGTCGGCCTGATCGCGTTCAACTACCCGCTTCATATCAAGGTCCGTTTGTATGTAATAGTCACACATTGTGTCTAACCTCTACCCAGTTCAATAGCCACGTTTTGAGTATAACCTCTATCCCAGTTCAATGACCACATTTTGAGTATGACCTCTATCCCAGTTCAATGACCACACATTCTGGGTATAACCTCTATCCCAGTACAATGGCCCCGTTTTTAGTATAACCTCTTTCCCAGTTCAATGACCACACATTCTGAGTATAACCTCCAGCCCAGTTCAGTGGTCACATTCAGAGTCTATCCTGTTGACCGGTACAGATAACTCTCCTTTTATCCTGGCGCCATGGTATCCTGAAAGGTGTGTCTGAAACTCACAAAAATCCACAACTCGGAGAGCACTTGGTGTTTGTTTCTGCTGATGGGCACCACTTCTTTCCTTTTCCATCCATCCATTCATAAGAGTACATAACCCACAAGAGTGTGCAACTACCTGCATAACCTCCATACAGTGCTGTACAACCCTGTATCTATCACGCACAGGGTGCAAATAATGTGTACAGGTTCCGAGTCGTCACGTGGCGTGAAGTTCTGCCGCTGAAGACCCCATAGCTGAAGTTGACCACACGGTGTTTGCACACCCAGCACAAGCACCCCGCTAGCAACACTCCACTCTACTATCCTCGTGACGCCAGTGTCGTTTATAGCGCAACCCATACTTGTAGCTCTCTTTCTCCACGTGATTAGCTTAGCACTGCTGAATGTTCTGCGGACAGTCGCGTCTGGTACTGTACCAACAACAGCTCCATTCGCACTATATGGTTTGTGCTATTTTTTTTAAGTTTACACATTGTGCGCCTATACTCTGTGTATAAACACCATCAGTACGAAAATAGTGGTGACGACTTTGGCGATAGTTTTATAAGCAACCAACCAACAACCAACCAACTTCTTCCTTCTAAACACCCGTATTCATTTTAACCCTGTTCATTCAACACCTGCTTTTCATGGGCTCCCATGACCGTCAGTTTCGTGCACCAGCACATCTTCTCCAGGCGTCAGGGGCCCAGCCTCCCCGCCCATCCGACTCGCCACACACAACAGCGCAACTGAACTAAAAGTTCTACATAATATCTTGACAAGACGAAGACGGACAGACAAGAAGACCGGACACGACGAGGTAAAACTGATAACTGAAGAAAAGGACAAACGTTGCGGCAGTATATAATGAGCATGCGCGCGAAATAATGTTGCACGCGCGACGATGACGTAAGCGTTCCATGTTGTAGACATGTACAGAAGACTGCACATGCAACCAAAACAATGCAACAAAGTCAAGCCAAAACCACTACGAAATAAAACTAAAGAACAACATAAATAAGCCATGAAAAGTCTTTCACTCTAGACCCGTTGCGCAACAGTCAGGAAAGAAAACCCCAATGCCTTGTCATGGGTATTTGCTGCAGTGAAGTGTTGCCGATGGACTGTTAGTGACACCACTAGTTCCTGGAAACGTCGTGTAGTATTGTCAGGTCTTAGCAAGAACCCGTAACAACTGTACATTTGTGGGGTGTGGCAGATTAAAATTAATATTTATGGAGAAAATCCGATAAGAAGAACAGAGGACCAATGTGCTACAAGTTGCGCTATGATGTCCACTAACACCACCAGTTACTTTACAATCAGCTCATGCGATAACATTGCCCGACACGACACGTTATAGCGTACCTTGTAGCTCCTTGGTCCTCTTTTCTTCTTATACTGAAGTAAATTTATCCTTGGCTCTCCGCCCGAATCTAAAAAGTCCAATCTGAGGCCTGTTTAAAAAAAATGTGTTGTTTGTGCGTGCTTTCTTGCTTCAGCTGACGACGTTCTTACGAGATGTCGGCTTCTACGTTGCGGCTATTTGCTGGCTGATAGTGATGCTGTGGGACGGTCGCATAATGCGCTACGAAGCCCTGGGTTACATCATGCTGTATGTCGTCTACGTCTCCACTGTCATTATCATGCTAAAGTGGTCACAGCGCGGGACTGCACATCTAGCAGATGCCGGAGCTGGTGCATGTAAGCTTTAGTTTCCTGCCTGTTCATCTGTCTGTGTCTTATTTGGTTAATTTCTTAATCCTATCCACCTTCAGCTATTATGCATGGCGAGTGTGTGGCTGACTTTTTTATAGCGACATCACCACCATCAACATGAGCTCCCATAGCTCAGTCGGTTAGAGCGTCGTGCTAATAACGCGAATGTCGCAGGTTCGAGCCCTGCTGGGAGCACGCTCTTTTATTATTATTTTTTTTATCAACAATCAAGGTGGCAGGTGACGCCATGGCAGGTACAGTCACTACGTGCCGGTGGTGGCTGTGAATTTCAGATGCACTGAAACGGCACAGTCAGAACATTGCGTCTGCTCCCTAGCATCACTTCTAGCTGATCTTCTCTGTTTCTCAGTCGTGGTCTTCGACCAATCCGCTCTGCAAAAGTCACATGTATGGTTTGGTCTGAGGTGAGCCCCAGGGACGGGTGATTCGTATTTGTATTGTATTTTATTATTTTACTTGGGCATTCCCAACAGACCCTAAGGTCTTCTTACAGGGTGCCCAAGATGAATGAAATTGTTAAGTTCCTGGCGAAATGAATTGGGGATATGATTTGTGCGAAGGGATTCGGGAAGCGCATTTTAAATGATTGCACGTTGTTGTCTTTGCACTGTGCAGTCTTTACAACAGTCATATTCTTATCGGTGTGTGTGTGTGTGTGTGTGTGTGTGTGTGTGTGTGTGTGCAGCTGAGCGCACACCACTACTTGGTAGCCCTGATCACGGCAGTGCTTCACGCCAGCAGTCAGGCGGCGGTGGCAGCAGCCATGGTACTACTGGTACCAGCGGTGGACAAGACCTGGGCGCATCGCTGGGCGGTGGATCAATGAGCGAGTCGTACACGGGCGGTGCGTTCACAGGTAACATTGCTGGTGGATCGGTGGACTGGCGTATGGCCAGCGACGGCAGTCTGCTCAAATCCAACCAAGATGATGACTTACCAGCCAGTGACTCAACACCAGCATCTACTGGACAATCATCAGCTGTCGGCTCTCCTGGAAAACAATCTGATGATAATACCGCACATGATAAGCTAGAGATCGGCAAAGCTGGAGCGCAGAACGTGCCCAGATCCGCGTGGAGCGCTTCCGAGTCCACACGACAGCTGGAAGTCGCCGCGCATCATGCTGCACCTAGGTCGGAAGCCAGTGAGCCGATAGCCGAGTCGTCGACTACAGCTAGCCCACCACCATTGCCACCACCACCAGTTAGTCCCTGGCGTAAACTGGCTACTGGTCTATGGCCGTACAGTGTGGACGATTTCAAAGCTCTGAGGTAGATTATAATCATAGGTGTGTGTGTGTGTGTGTGTGTGTGTGTGTGTATGTATGTATGTGTGTGTGTGTGTGTGTGTGTGTGTATGTATGTGTGTGTGTGTGTGTATGTGTGTGTGTGTGTGTGTGTGTGTGTGTGTGTATGTATGTATGTATGTGTGTGTGCGTGGTTGCATGTGTGTGTTTGTGTGTGTGTGTGTGTGTGTGTGTGTGTGTGTACATGCGTGTGTGTGTGGGTGTGTATGTGCATGCATGCATGCATGCATGCATGTGTACGTGTATCGATATGCCAAGCCAGCCAGGGCTAGGGAGTAGGGTATTGTTCTATTAGCGACATTCATTCTCTCTTCAAGTGATCCTAGAAGAGTAGATCATGCTGCCCTCATCCATTATTGGTTGAGAGTTGCCATGTAAGTGTGGGTTACTGCCCAGTGGCAGTGGATAAGTCTCTTCACTTCAACACAACCTGGTGGCGCGCCTCTGTTTCCAATCATTGTCTTCGCCCACTCCACTATACCCGGCATGTAACATGAAAGACCGGCGTTGCTCTTCAATCTTCATCTGCAGTGACTTGCCCGTCTGTTTATGTCGGTCCATATGTTGGAATGTTTGTCTGACCGTCTGTACGTCTGTCGTTCGTTTGTCTGATCATCTGTGTGTCTGTTTGTTTGATCGTCAGTTCATCAGCTTGTACAGCAGTCTTTGTGTCTGCAGGGGCGTCACCGGACCCCTTCGCAGGGGGGGGGGGGGGGGGGGGGGGAGTGCACAGGAATTTTGCACAGGAAAACACGAAAAAGTTCGCTGATAGTGAGTTGGCCAGACGCTTTCCTTTTTCGAGAAGACGACATTTTGAGAGGAAACAGCTCCAAAGACTCTTCAAGTGTGGTGACTTGCGACCACACTGAATTATTTATTTATTCTGTTTCAAACAAACACCCAGCACGCCGCCGCGCGTGTAGATTCTACAGTCCATTCATCGGAAACTGTCCCGCTGGCTTTTGAAAGTCCGATTTGGGCCGAATTGAGGATCAAAAACCCACTTTAAATCTCAAAAATCTGGGTTTGGGATCTGTTTCTCCATACATTTTGCCATGGCATACCTGTCCCAATTTTGTAAAACCTGGCTGAATTTCTATTTCCCTGTTCTTGGACTTTTCTGGCCTCAAATGTGGCAAGGAGTAATTGCACGGGTGACACAATGCAGGATGTACTGTCGTTTTCACGATATCTACAACTATGTGCGGGAGACACCAAAACGTTAGGGTGCCAGTTTCCAATGAATGGACTGTAGTACAAGGCCAAAGGATGCAGCGCTGCGCGCACGTGCACGCGCGCAGTAGGTACGTACTAAATTAGTAGCACTAGTACAATAGGTCATGTACATGCACTCGCTACATGCACTCGCGCGATCGCGGCAGACAAGTACAACTAGTTTTAGTGCATGTAGTTTATTAGTAGATTCTACCAGCACTACACTTTTCATAACCAGGAGTTCGCAAAAAACCAAGGTCGAATTTTTTAGAGGGGTCCACGTGCCCCCCCCCCCCCCCCCCCCCCCCCGTGCCCATCACGAGTGATGCCCCTGGTCTGTGTGTAAATATGTCTGTTTGAACGAACTTCAAGAATCAAAGCACGTAATGTTGTCATTGTTGTGTGTGTGTGTGTCTGTGTGTGTGTGTCTGTGTCTGTCTGTGTGTGTGTGTGTGTGTGTGTGTGTGTGTGTGTGTGTGCATGCGTGCGTGCGTGCGTGTGTGTGTTTGTGTGTCTATACTCTTATACAGCTGGCTTGGTCGTGTCATGCTAGTCCTGCGAGTTCCGATACGTCTGTGTCTAACACTAACAACGCCCGTCATACAGCCCAGCAACGACGATGATACGGACGAACATACCAATGCCAACTGGAACAAGTTCCTCATCGCTGCCAATTGTTTGATAGCGCCGATTTTTGCTACTCTAGCTCTGGATTGTAAGTAGAGTGCACGTGTAACTGGAAAGTGTAAGCATCATGGCTATGCTTTTTCTTTCCTAGCATAGCCAGGTGGATTTTTGAACGTCAGTAGAACGTCAGCGTGTTTACCGGGTGTTAGCGGCCGTCGTGAGTTCCCTTTTTTCGGGAACAGACACGATAATTTCCTATTTTATAACCGGATGGATTTTGAGCGTCAGTAGAACGTCAGTACAGTTGATCAATGTCGTGCAATGTTATCGCATCAGCAGATTGTCAAGTACTATTAACCGGTGTCGTTAGTGGACGTTACAGTGCTAGCGTAACCTGTACTTCCTTGGTCCCTTTTTTTACTATGAATTCATCCTTGGCTCTCCATCCGAGTCTTGTCATGCTAGTACAGTCAGACCTCGTTTAACCGCACACATCCATTTTCCACAAACAGTATGCGGATAGGCAAGGAAACCGGATAATCAAACACTCATACTGTATATCTATGCACTACATTATGCTGTAAATCGGTAACCAACGATTTTCTTCCGGATGGCAAGGGATCCGGATAAAAGAGGACTGGATGGCGAGGGATCCGAACCAAAGAGGACTGGACGGCGAGGGATCCGGATAATGCGGACTGGATGGCGAGGGGATCCGGATAAAAGAGGACTGGATGGCGAGGGGTACGGATGAAAGAGGACCGGATGGCGAGGGATCCGGATAAAAGAGGACCGGATGGCCAGGGATCCGAATGAAAGAGGACCGGATGGCGGGGAATCCGGATGAAAGAGGACCGGATGGCGAGGGATCCGGATGAAAGAGGACCGGATGAAAGAGGACCGGATGGCGACGGGATCCGGATGAAAGAGGACAGGATGGCGAGGGATCTGGATGAAAGAGGACCGGGTGGCGAGGGATCTGGATGAGAGAGGACCGGATGGCGAAGGATCCGGATGAAAGAGGACCGGATGGCGAGGGATCCGGATGAAAGAGGACCGAATGGCGAGGGATCCGGATGAAAGAGGACCGGATGGCGAGGGATCCGGATGCAAGAGGACGGGATGGCGAGGGATCCGGATGAAAGAGGACCGGATGGCGAGGGATCCGGATGAAAGAGGACCGGATGGCGAGGGATCCGGATGAAAGAGGACCGGATGGCGAGGGATCCGGATGGCGAGGGATCCGGATTAAAGAGGACCGGATGGCGAGGGATCTGGATGAAAGAGGACCGGATGGCGAGGGATCCGGGTAAAAGAGGACCGGATGAAAGAGGGATCCGGATGAAAGAGGACCGGATGGCGAGGGATCCTGATGAAAGAGGACCGGATGGCGAGGGATCTGGATGAAAGAGGACCGGATGGCGAGAGATCCGGATGAAAGAGGACCAGATGGCGAGGGATCCGGATGAAAGAGGACCGGATGGCGAGGGATCCGGATGAAAGAGGACCGGATGGCGAGGGATCCGGATGAAAGAGGACCGGATGGCGAGGGATCCGGATGAAAGAGGACCGGATGGCAAGTGATCCGGATGAAAGAGGACCGGATGGCGAGAGATCCGGATGAAAGAGGACCGGATGGCGAGGGATCCGGATGAAAGAGGACCGGATGGCGAGCGATCCGGATGAAAGAAGACCGGATGGCGAGGGATCCGGATGAAAGAGGACCGGATGGCGAGGGATCCGGAAGAAAGAGGACCGGATGGCGAGGGATCTGGATAAAAGAGGACCGGATGGCGAGGGATCTGGAAGAAAGAGGACCGGATGGCGAGGGATCCAGATGAAAGAGGACCGGATGGCGAGGGATCCAGATGAAAGAGGATCGGATGGCGAGGGATCCGGATGAAAGAGGACCGGATGGCAAGGGGTCCGGATGAAAGAGGACCGGATGGCGAGGGATCCGGAGGAAAGAGGACCGGATGGTGAGGGATCCGGATGAAAGAGGACCGGATGGCGAGGGTCCGGATGAAAGAGGACCGGATGGCGAGGGATCAGGAGGAAAGAGGACCGGATGGCGAGGGATCCGGATGAAAGAGGACCGGATGGCGAGGGATCCGGATGAAAAAGGATCGGATGGCGAGGGATCAGGAGGAAAGAGGACCGGATGGCGAGGGATCCGGATGAAAGAGGATCAAATGGCGAGGGATCCGGATGAAAGAGGACCGGATGGCGAGGGGTCCGGATGAAAGAGGACCGGATGGCGAGGGATCCGGACGAAAGAGGACCGGATGGCGAGGGATCCGGATAAAAGAGGACCGGATGGCGAGGATTCCGGATAAAAGAGGACCGGATGGCGAGGGATCCGGATAAAAAAGGACCGGATGGCGAGGGATCCGGATGAAAAAGGATAGGATTGCGAGGGATCCGGATGAAAGAGGACTGGATGGCGAGGGGTCCGGATGAAAGAGGACTGGATGGCGAGGGGTCCGGATAAAAGAGGACCGGATGGCGAGGGATCCGGATATAAGAGGACCGGATGGCGAGGGATCCGGATGAGAGAGGACCGGATGGCGAGGGATCCGGATAAAAGAGGACCGGATGGCGAGGGATCCGGATAAAAGAGGACCGGATGGCGAGGGATCCGGATACCGTATTATCTCTAATATAAGCACGGTCCTTTATTTTTTCAATGTACCTCCGCCCTGTGCTATTAATGGAGACTGTTCCATTATTATTTCAACCTTATTTCAGAGTCATGTTGCCATGCCAAATTCATGTATGACACACATTTCAGGGTTTTTTTCGCCGGTACAGATAATGAATTTACACAGTGTGCTTATAATGGAGACTGAGCACTTTATTTTTTGAATGCCGCCCCAAGGTGTTCTATTATTGGAGACGTGCTATTATTGGAGACTGTGCTTATATTAGAGATAAGGCCATCATTTTTTATATCTATGTTTCGCGTCGTCCGCACGCATACGTTTTGATTTTTTTCGGAAAAAAATAAAAAACTCAACCATGCACAGTAAGGGTGCGTTCTTAAATTCTCCAGCTTCTAGAAGAAGAAGAAAAGAGAAGTCGAAGAAACTGGGATTCTTCAAGAACGGGTCTCGAAGAATTCGGAGATATTTTGCAGATGTCAAGCAAAATGGAGCGCCAAAGGGACCGTGATCTTGAGTGCCACGAAAATAGTATGCGCTGTGCGTATGCGAAAAGGGAAATGCGTACACTCAGGATCAACACATGGCTTTTAGCCTAGTTCGCATGCGCTGATCCGAAACCGCGGGAATCTCCGAGTTTCAACCACCTCTGAAGCTTGGAGAGCTTCGAGAGCTTTGGAGAGCCTCCTAAAATTCGGAGAGGATATAAGAACAGCTCTCGAACTTTTCGGAGAGTCTCCAACTTTTCCGAGAGGATTTAAGAACGCACCCTTAGTGTACGATCGTGCGAGTCATCAGTGTGGACTGGTTGCATACGGCAAAGCTGGGATTCAGAAATGGCCTCGAGGCCAGCGTTGGTAAATCGTTTGTTCGGCATCTGCGAGCAGTATTCTATGAGCTTACAACAGACCGCATCGATCGCCTCAAGCTGAGCGGATGCGTCGTTCCGGAGCTCTTTGCACCTCTGCTGAAGGCTGAGTACAATAATCCAGCGAAGCATGGGCACCAACGGTTGCCTCCTCTGTCCAAAGTGATGCAGATCTTGTGCTTCGATGTACGATTTTTCTTTCGGATGTACACCATGCACGAGCTATTGTGCTATGTACAGTTTTATACACCTCTGATGAGCTTTTTTTTATTATTTTGCAACTTTTTATTTTTTTCCACCTCTCGCATATGATTCTTGAAGTTGAACTGACGCGAAACATAGATATAAAAAATGATGGCCTAATACGGGAAAAGAGGACTGGATGGCGAGGATCCGGATAAAAGAGGACTGGATGGCAAGGGATCCGGATAAAAGAGGACCGGATGGCGAGGGATCCGGATAAAAGAGGACTGGATGGCTAGGGATCCGGATAAAGGAGGACTGGATGGTGAGGGATCCGTATAAAAGAGGACTGGATGGCGAGGGATCCGGATAAAAGAGGACTGGATAGTGAGGGATTCGGATAAAAGAGGACTGGATGGCGAGGGATCCGGATAAAGGAGGACTGGATGGTGAGGGATCCGTATAGAAGAGGACTGGATGGCGAGGGATCCGGATAAAAGAGGACTGGATGGCGAGGGATCCGGATAAAAGAGGACTGGATGGCGAGGGATCCGGATAAAGGAGGACTGGATGGTGAGGGATCCGTATAAAAGAGGACTGGATGGCGAGGGATCCGGATAAAAGAGGACTGGATGGCGAGGGATCCGGATAAAAGAGGACTGGATTGTGAGGGATCCGGATAAAAGAGGACTGGATGGTGAGGGATCCGTATAAAAGAGGACTGGATGGCGAGGTACGACTGTACTTACTTATTTGTGTCAGTCCCTGAACAGCAGAACAGCAGCTAATGCCGGGCAGTGAAGCTGCATTACAATCCTTCCTATTGTATTGTTTGTCCACTGTGTGGAGGCACGGTAGCGGCTCTGTAGCGGCTAGTGAAGTTGTGCGTGTTGATAGCGAGCAAATTGTCGAGTACTTCACCCTGGAGTTAGTAGCAGTTCCGGGTTTAGTTTCCAGAACTGGCAAGGAAGCGAAATCAGCTTCGGATAAAGCGACTAGTGTGCATGGCATAATGTAAGGATTTCAGCGAATGCTGGGTGAATGCCAGGTGCACACAATTTTGAGGGAGGGGTCTTGGTATCACTAGCGGGCTCTATTGTGGAGTTCACCTTATTATGAAACCCCCTCACAGCGGGCCGTATAGTATTAGCGACACTAACACGTTCTGTTGTGTGGTTAGCCAAATAAGGGATCTTCCTCTTGACTGCACATGTGTGCTAGCTCACGTGTCACTATTGATATGTTCCTTACAAGATATGTGCCAGTGGCGTCTCAACCATATCCTGTATTAACAGTGCATTCATCTAGAACTGGCACCCCAACTTGTTGGCGTCTTGCACATAGAGTGGCAATACTATTTGTTGCTATAGAGAACACATCTGTAGATCCTGCAGTGTGTGTCGCGTACGCTTCTCGTTGGCTGGATTTTTGTCTTGCAATATGGCTGCCCGCAGCCAACCCTGCCCTAGTTATGGCTGATGTGAGCTGTGAGAACAAACTGTGCACAATTCTCTAACTCTAACTCTAAACTGACATGAAGAGAATTGTGAACAACGAACAAGGAGACAATTGGAAGAAAAATCACAACACAACTACCGTATTTTCGGCAATCACTGGCTTAGGTACTTAGCGTAATTTCTCAGTTGAAAAACCACGCCAGAGCCCTGAAATGATGCGGGGCGTATTTTCAGACAGGTGGTAATTTAACTAATTAGAGATCAAACCGAAACCCAGAAAAAAGGTAACCACAGCAAGAAGACAGGGATGCGCGCGATTGGGGCGAGGTAGAACACAGGCAAGCAATAATAATAATGCTTGCTCAATGCTTGCCTGGTTGTCTCTGACTTCTTCTTCTTGGTTCACTGCAGTATTCTTCCACAAGATTCAAGGTGCAGAAGTGATCTTTGTTGGTGTTGTAGCATCCGGAGTAGGACTCTTGCTCTTCTTCTGTGTGATTGTGTTCACCCGGTCTTATCAAGCACCCCGTGCTAAGCCTGTGAGTCAGTATTGTGTGAGGTCTTGAGTCAGTAGTAGGGAGGTTCCGGAGTACGATTTTTCGTGCCAAAATCCGTAGAGGCGCTACGGATTTTTTATACGTCGTTTTCGAGCAGTGAAATGTTCCGGAGTACGGAACTTATGTGTTTGCCGTCATTGCCTAGGTTACGATCGCAAACACGTCACATTCCCGCGCTATGCCTTTTTATTTTGAAAATTTGTACCGAAATCAAAACATCCCGCGGAAAATCCATGTTTCTCGTACCAAATTTGTATGCGAAAAATCTTTCTGCACCCGATGACGCAAAATCTCCATACGAAACATGGTTCGTGTGAAAGCCAGTCCACACGGATTCTCTGTGCCGAAAAATCGTATGGAGCAGGCCTGGAAAAAATCTGTAGCGCCCACACGGATTTTGGCACGGATAATCGTACCCCGGAACCTCTCTAGTGTGCTAAGCCTGGGAGACAGTACTAGTATTGTGTAGAGGTCACAGTGTGTGCACAACGGTGACCGCTATGCTTTACTGTGCCTGTTGCACTGTACACTATACCCTCCCCTCCCCCCCCCCCCCCCTCTCTCTCACACGCACGCACACACACACACTCTCGCGCGCGCGCGCGCGCGCACACACACACACACTCGCACGTGCATGCGCACACACACACTCGCACGTGCATGCGCACACACACACACACACACACACACACACACACACACACACACACACACACCTTGTCTTTTAAACAGTTGCCAGTGTGTGGCTATCTGTACAAGTTCAACTTACCCATGTGTACTATGTAGCATTGATTGCTCTCTGTTACCCCTGCCTGCAAACCACTAGCAGGTACTGTATAGTGACTCAGTTGGTGCGTATACACAACTGCTTGTGTGTGCACGTGAGCATTATGGTTGTGTACTCCTTTGGGTGTGTGTGTATGTGTGTGCGTGTGTGTGTGTGTGTGTGTGTGTTTGCGTGCATGTGTTTGTGTGTGTGTTTGCTTGTGTGTGTGTGTGTGTGTGTGTGTGTGTGTGTGTTTGCGTGTGTATGTTTGCGTGCGTGTGTTTGCATGTGTGCGTGTGTGTGTGTGTGTATGTTTGTTTGCCCGCTGTAAAGATATTTTCATTCCTGGGTTTCTTGATGTCGGTGGCATGGATCTACATGATAGCCAATGAAGTGGTCAATATCCTAGATGTAAGTCGACATGTGTGTTTGTGTGTGTGTGTGTGTGTGTGTGTGTGTGTGTGTGTGTGCGTGCCTGCGTGTGGTGTGTGTGTGTGCGTGCGTGTGTGTGGGATGTGTCTGTGTGTGTGCGCGCGCCTGTGCGTAAGCGTGAGTTCACAGGTGGACATGTGCACTACCCATACATGTACGTGAATGGATGATTGTGACTCGTATTTTGAAAACATACAACGTACATGTACATCCCCTCAAATCCCAGCGGCCAGTAGTCCCCTTGCTGTCATGATGCACACCGCCATCTCCAGCTTTACCCCTCATGCTCAGGCGGACACTGGTAGTGTAGCACTTGGGGTACATGAATGTGGCAAATAGGGTTCCGGGCACTGGTGCAATTTGTGTGCGTCTAGTTCTCTCCTGTCCACCATTATTAAGGTGCCTCCCCTCCTGCTACGTTATTATTAGGTGATAGCAGTACAATGATTGTAACGTGTGGTCCGTGTGTGTGTGTCCGTGTGCGTGCAGGGTCTACTTTCATCCTCTTCAAGTTGTCCCATTCTTTCCTGACTATGCTCACCCTATGACTATGTGTGTTGTACACTGTATGTGTGTTGTGCAGACTGTTGGTGTGGTGCTGAAGCTGAATGGAGCGTTCCTAGGACTGACTGTTCTGGCTGGCGGGAACAGTGTGTGTGGTAAGCAATGATACACAGCATCCTCCCCTACACTCATACCTCAGTTAACCGGGCACCTAGGTTATGCACACTTCGATCTACCAGGCACCATTGGGCGAGTTTTAGGGGAAACATTACACCACTCTTTTTGTCACTTTTTTGTGGAAATAGTGACGCCATATGCCATATGTATGGCCTTTTCCTCATCAAAATGTATGATGTAATTCTCAGTTACGGCCAGCCCAAAGTTCTGGTCAGTGTCCAGTCCCTGAGTGCCCGGATAAGCCTGGTATGAGTCTAGCTGCATGTACTGCTGAATGTAGTCTGAGGGCCGGGGTGGACCCATATTAGCAAGAGTACATGAAAACCAGAGTGTGCAGCTCGGATGGGTTGCTGTCACGGCGAAATTCCGTGATTACATCATTTTAGTGATGTAGTGCGTACAAGCAGGATTCAAGCAGGTCTCTTTCTGCACAACTGCAGCTCAGTTGTACGCACTACGCCATTTCCCGCCTCAGATCTGGGCCTAATATGATGTAATCACGGAATTTCGCCGTGACAGACACCCATAGCAGAAAAGGCCCCAAGCTGCACACTCTGGTTTTCATGTACTCTTCATATTAGTCTGAGGGGCCGGGTTGGACCCATATTTAGCGAGCACCCCATAGAGAACACGGGATTGGGTCTTGTGAGGATGATCCATTGGTTCTATGCAGCACATGATGCACTTTGAAACTTGGTTTGTACCCAGCAATAACCACCAGCCAGCAACCTCTGCTAATATGCCAGTGGCAGGCCATGGCACTTGGCTGTGTGCATCTATCTCACTGCCTTACCGCATATCAGATCATGTTCTGAATAGAATTGCCACCGCCAATGCTGCTGCTGCTATGGCCACCTCTCCTATCCAGCCTCCCAGCCCCTCCAGCTGGTGGTGCTGCTGCTGCAGCTGTGGCTACCTCTCTCCTATGCTGCCTCCCAACCCCTGCTTCTTTTGTGGTAGTCATCATCTGTGCATACTTCATGTATGGCTATGTGCATGACTGTACTCTCTACATAACCCTCACTGGGGCCTCGAGTAATATGAAAACTGATTATCAGGATTAGATTGGTGTGTACAAAATTGACAACATGTAATGTATGCATTGCAATTGTTGTACGCTACAGATTTGGTTGCTAATTTCTTGGTGGCAAAGTCTGGTAAGGCCGAGATGGCTGTGGCGGCGTGCTACGGGAGTCCTCTGCTCAGTATCCTCCGTGCCTGCTGCTGCTGCTGCCGCTGCTCCTGCACGATTGTGTACTAATGTGTTGGTTTGGATCTTGCTCCTGCACGATTGTGTACTCATGTGTTGGTTTGGATCTTGGTTGTGTTGTTCTTACATGTGCATGGAGGACTGACTATGCATGTCACATGCACTGGTACTAGGTATAGCATGGCTGTGCAGTCAGGGGCGTACTAGGTATAGCATGGCTGTGCAGTCAGGGGCGTACTAGGTATAGCATGGCTGTGCAGTCAGGGGCGTACTAGGTATAGCATGGCTGTGCAGTCAGGGGTGTACTAGGTATAGCATGGCTGTGTCAGGGTGGTACTAGGTATAGCATGGCTGTGCAGTCAGGGTGGTACTAGGTATAGCATGGCTGTGCAGTCAGGGACAACGTCGGAATGTATTTTAGGGTGGCACGGTAAGCCATGTGAACTGTACATATTTCTAGGGTTGGTGGCTTGTCTGAAAAAGTTCGAAATATAGAGCCCAGATCAATGCGTTCTATTGGTTTTCGGGGTACTTGGGGCAAAGAGTGGTACGGCCAATACCGTAGTGACCGTAGCGTGTCCAATGCCCCTGTGTGCACATCAGGGCATGTACATGCTGAATGTAAATGTTGGAATTTTGGTGATGCAGCATGCAGCAGTTTTCCTCTCAAATCTTAGCCTTTTTTCAATTGACTTCTTTCAGGTGCGTTAAATTAGCAGCCCTTGACTCGTGAAACTTTAGATATGCTAATCGGCGTTGGCCTGTCAGCCACTGTGGCAACCTTCCGCGACGGTGAGCACTATCAACTGGAGTATACTAATCAGCTGATAGTTGCCTCGAGTGCTCTGCTTGCTGGACTAGCCTTTGCCACAACCTACGTCGTCCTCTCTCACTGCAAATGCGGATGGAAAGCCGGCAGAGCATTTGGGATTCCTCTCTTCTGCGGCTATGGAGCATTCCTAACTGCAGTCTTGGCATTGGAGTTTGCTTAATAAAATGAAATACAACCGCGGGGTTTCAATTGGATCTATCTATCTATCAGAACGAACAACTTAAACGCAAGATGTTATTTATCACTCATTTATTACTTACTGGCACCTTTTTTCATCGACCACCATACATGCCACAGCACACCACCAGCAAAGCGCCAATCCGTTGGTACTGAATTCCTTCGTACACTGTAACAACTGTTTCGAGTGTAAAACTCTCGTCAGTGAAGGTAAATATTGTAGGAATGGCCAAGAGAGTGAAAAATCTACCCCTTTATCTAGTTTTACACCTTTTTTAACTGAGTTTTCTATGCCTCGACGAAACATTTCAATCAACAATTAAGTTCACTACAGAATTTTCTTACCGGTAACTGATTAAAAAACATATACTTGACACAGTATTCAATATTTTGACCTAGTTTCTTCTTTCGAATTCCAATTTTTATGTTTGACATGAACAATTTATTACTATGCTAGGTAGGCATTTGCTTCGTAGGAAAACAGGATTTTTATTTTCAATTGATCCGGAGGAATGTTTTGAGCATTTTCCATTTTCTTCTCGGGTTGGGCGGTTGGACCAATCACATTTCAGGCGTGAAGTTCAAAGCCAGGTCTGAGGATAGGCTATGACAGTAATCATTCCAGGAGGGGGTGGAATTTTCGATTTTCTTCTTCGGTAGAGTTTTCTGGCTTGTTTCTCCATCCTCATGCAGAAACAACAAGAGTTCAGCCACCAGCATGCCAAGAAGATGCTGAACTCTGATTGGCTGAGGGCGACCAATCATTTCAGGTGTGAAGTTCAGAGCCAGGATAGGCTATAACCGTAATCATTCCAGGAGGGGACGGCCTCTTACCAGGTCAGGGTTGTGACAGCAGCAACCCGTTTATAGTAACTGGGCAGGCAAACTTCTCCAGAGCGTTTGGAGGATCACAGACGAGTTTTGTCGTACGAAAAGCGTATCTTCGCCTACCGGAAACATTGAGCAGTAACAAGGGCGAGAGAAATTGAAACAGAGAGCAAATGAATGTAGCAATATACAAGAGCATCCTGGAGATGGTGCTGTGCTCGGTGACTAGCCGTAGTGATATGTGCAGTGCTAACAGTGAGGTAAGGACAGGCAGCACAGGAAATATTGCATTGCCCAGAAAAATATCATCAGTGTTGGTCTGTGAGACGTCACCTGGGAGAGGGCAAGATCCCCCTACACACGCACACAGACCGGGACGAGAAAGGAAAGGTTTGGTAAATGAGAATAACAGCTTGGGAGCAGAACATTGGCTCCTTGTGATGTTGCTCGGGACTGGTTCAGGAAGAACCAAACACACACGCCCGCACACACACACACACACACACACACACGCACACACACACACACGCCCACACACACACGCACGCACACACACGCACTTTCACATGCCCAACGCTGAAGCAATGATAGCGAACAAGCTGTGTTAGACATAGCAATGTGTGCTGGGATTATACCATCGAACACACACGCACACACATGCACATGCACACACATACACACGCACACACACGGACATACAGACCATTACACGACTGTATGGCCTCCTGCTGGATCGCTGCTGTAACCTCTGGTTTTCACTGGGTCCAGACTGGAGTACTCGGTCTTTGCAGATGACACGGAATAATTAGTGCTGACTGAGGGATGTGAAGACTTGGGTGCCGGGACAGTTTCAACCTGGGCATAGTTCTTAGCGGGCTGCAGAGAGAGAGGAAAAGAGGAAGAAAGAGTGTGTAGTCCAGCTCACTGCAAACCGAAATTAAGAAGACAGAATGGGGAGCTTTTACACCACACCTATGCATGAATGGGGAGCTTTTACACCACACCTATGCATGAATGGGGAGCTTTCCAACCACACCTATGCATGAATGGGGAGCTTTCGAACCACATATCTGCATGAACTTCCCATTGCTTTTGCGCAGTTACGGTTCCCCATTTCGCAGGATGTACCCGAGTTGTTCAAGACCTCCTCACTGTACTATCGGGTGCCGGAGAACGACCAGGCTAGGATTTCACCAAGCACAGCATACCAGTGGATGCACGGTGACTCAACTGTGCATAGACGGTAGCAAGAGTACATGAAATCCAGAGTATTCAGCTTGGGGCCTTTTCTGCTATGGGTGTCTGTCACGGCGGAATTCCGTGATTACATCATATTTGGCGCAGATCTGAGGCGGGAAATGGCGAAGTGCGTACAACTGAGCTGCAGTTGTGCAGAAAGAGACCTGCTTGAATCCTGCTTGCACGCACTACATCACAAAAATGATGTAATCACGGAATTTCGCCGTGACAGCAACCCATCCGAGCTGCACACTCTGGTTTTCATGTACTCTTGACGGTAGTACAGTGGAGCTTCACTGTACATGAAAATAAGAACGGCCTAGGCTGCGAGGCCGATCCCCTAGTTCTTCGGCAACCGACCTTGCATTGTATGTCCCCATGACGCCGAGACCTCAGGTCGGCTGAGGGCAAAAAGCCTCACCATCACTATGCTCCCACTATGCATTTTTTTTGTCTTTGCTTGTGAGCTGTGATCAATGTAAAAAATAGTAATAACGAGAGAGCTTGGAAGCTCAGGGCCCTACGCTATGCTTTTTTTCCTTGACGACCCTAGACAAAAAAAAGCATAGGGATGTTATATATAAAATTCTTTAAAAAATTTCTTTTTTTTAAGACATAACCTGGGATTCGAACCCGCACTATCGCGCGCCCTGCATGCATCCCCCGATACACTTCACATACATACTAATTCTTCCAAGTTGTTTCACATTGTGATCTTGCATTTGAAAGCCCTATTTGAATATGCATTGTGGCCAGCCGTCTTTGATGGCACGGTACGGTAGGGGATAGGTACGGGATATGTACGATCGAGGGTAATACGACACCGTCTCCCGCACCGTACCATCAAACACAGCTGGCCACATACAGCTGCCCGCAATATTCAAATAGGGCTTTCAAACGCAAGATAATGACGTGAAGCAACTTGGAAGAATGGGTATGAATGCGAAGTGTATGGGGGAATGCATGTAGGGCGATAGTGCGGGTTCAAATCCCAGGATATGCCTGAAAAAAAAATAGGAGAATTGAAAAATTTATAACATCCCTATGTTTTTTTGCCGTCAGATACGGGATAGCGCCAGGCGTGACACAAACAAACAAACAAACAAACACACACACAAATACCAAATTAAAGCTGTGTGGACCCTGGCTAGCGCCAGACGTTACTGAAGTAACGTCTTCTGCATAGCTACGGGAATAATAAGTACTGTGGTGCGAAGAGTGTAGACAGTCACATGGAGTGCAGTGTTTGAACAGTTTGGTTACTGATGCTTCTACAACCCCTACATGTGCAGGTACAGGCATGTACTGGTGTGGATACAAAAAGATCCGGTGAGAAGTCCAGCGGCCACGGGCTGTTGGCCTTGAAACCGTGAGTACGCATGTGGCACACACATTCATATGACACTATCGCATGCTGGACACCGCTGATCCATGCTGCAGTGTGCACGTGAACTACAGCGTGTGTACGTACTAAGGACGCCGGTCCGGGTCATTCCACCGGATTTCAATGTCTCACTCCCAAGTCTAAGTGCAGCTTGGAGACAATGTACATTTTTGTTTCTCTAGTTGTCGTCCACAATCACACACACACACACACACACGCGCGCGCGCACACACACACACACACACGCAGACACACACACACACCCCATCAATGTTGCCTTCTCTACAGACTTGATGCTTTTTTCTGCAATGGCATAGTAACAACTGTGAAAAATGGCAACGTACCGTTGGATCTGTCATGTTGGTGAATTTCCTGCAGTGGACAACAACAACAACAACAACAACAACGACGACAGCAGCAACAACAACACCAACAACACCAACACCAACGACGACGATGACGACGACAACAACAGCAGCAATGACAAACACAATAGCAGCAGCAGCAGCAGCAGCAAAATGAGATGGCATGAAACCACACCATGGTGGACCCGGTAATACTATATTTCCACGCGCTGTTATGCCTTAAGACTAAAGACCCATGCCTAAAGACTAAAGACCCATGCGTAAAGACTAAAGACCCATGCGTAAAGACTAAAGACCCATGCGTAAAGACTAAAGACCCATGCGTAAAGACTAAAGACCCAGGCGTAAAGACTAAAGACCCATGCCTAAAGACTAAAGACCCATGCCTAAAGACTAAAGACCCATGCCTAAAGACTAAAGACCCATGCCTAAAGACTAAAGACCCATGCCTAAAGACTAAAGACCCATGCCTAAAGACTAAAGACCCATGCCTAAAGACTAAAGACCCATGCCTAAAGACTAAAGACCCATGCCTAAAGACTAAAGACCCATGCCTAAAGAGGCACACAAAGTCACAAACCGACACCAAGTTCTTGATATAATTGGGAATACGCTATCAACTACATTCCTACAGGACAACCAAGCATTTGACATTGCCTAGCTCATGCCAAGCCGCCTGCGTGTTGAGAGAAGTGAAAGAGGAATGGTGTGTGATCGTTCTATGTACACATGCAACAGTTACACCACCATTTGTATTATTATGTCCCAGTCTGCCTCCCCCCCCCCCCCCACACACACACTCCCCTAACCCTTCTCTCTTAAAACAAATGTTCTCAATGAATACTAGTACACTGGTACTCACAGTCCGGATGGCTCGGTGGCGGGATCAGCTATGACGCGTGGCTTGTTGTTCAGCCCAGTCGGTGCCATGGCACCAGAACCACCTGCACACGAAGAAACCATCCAGCCGGAGAGATTGACATTTAACGATCATCCGTGTTCGATAAATGTATGTGCCGTCGGTAAAGGGGTGGTAAGTTACTACTGGGTTACATGAGCAGCCACGTGACCAGTCACCTGCACAGCTAAACACTAGGGAGTAGTCAAATGATCTGCCCATCATTACACATTTAGCTAGGGATGGATGATAGCACGTGACACTGTCATGTGACAATGTTAGGTGTGTGGCTGTGTACCCCAGGTACATGGATAAAAGACAACTCAAAGTTGGTGCCTTGATCCTCAACGGGCCAAGGCACCAACTGCCTATGCAGCAAGCATGAAGGTTGTGTACGTACGTTGTTTGACGATGATGATAGTCACGATGATGAGCACAAGGACCACAATAATAATCGCCACAATGATGCCTGCAATAGCGCCATTCGACAGGCTAGAACTGGAGGATTCTTCTGGTTCTGCAAAGGAAAAAGAACCAAATACAGTACACGGATCATCATCTTCAGGGACCTAGCACACATGGATCACAAGACAGCGACAGTGGTGGAATACATACTTAGGTCACGGGGATTCCCCTTTTTCGAGTGGAGAACAAAACTACTGTAGCACTGAGTGTCTCCATTCACTTGTCGCACATCACAACCATACTGTGGTCATATGACCATGCCATGTGACTGGGTTATGTGACCACGTCATGTGACTACATCATGTGACCATGTCATGTGACCACGTAATGTGACCGGGTTATGTGATGTATGAATGTACATCAGGGAGTTGTCTAGACCCGGGAGAGGACACGGCGCACAAACGGGCGGACGGTGCTTGCCTCACGACCGCCGGGGAAACCCCCGGGTTGAGATCGCGGGAGGCTCAGAACATTTCACGCATGTGGGCTTGAGTCGGACCATGTCCGCGGAGATCTGTGCCGTGTCCTCTCTCGGGTCTATACAACACACATATGTACATCAACCAGCGCAGGGATGGATCTACTGCTACTGCTTAGTATGGTGTATCGTGATGATCGGCATAAAGCACTGCCGACACGGAAACTCTTACCAGGAGGCATGGTGACCGTCACTGTGGCATCTGGTGGATCTGCAGCAAAGTAAAGCACAGTAGAACACAGCAGAACACAGTATGCAACAACATGTACAAAACAGTGGAAAACAGCATTGATGGACAACACATACAGCAAGGTTCAGTTCACAACAACAGCATACAACAACAGCATACAACAACAGCATACAACAACAGCATACAACAACAGCATACAACAACAGCATACAACAACAGCATACAACAACAGCATACAACAACAGCATACAACAAGCAGTGTACATGTACATGTAACAACTCCATTTGTATCAAAAACGACACATCAACACATCAACACATCAACACATCAACACATCGACACATCGACACATCGACACATCGACACATCAAAGATCTTTGCAAACTTGACCACCACATTTGCGCATGGCTAAACAGTCTGCTTAAGCAGACTGCAAAATTGCAAACCTGTCGCAATCCTGTTTTTCCCCGATCCTATCATTAGACAGGGTTTCAACTTCACGACAGCACTCGTTTCCACTACCCCATCACCACAGCACGCGTTTCCAATACCCCACCACCACAGCACTCATTTCCATTACCCCCATCACCACAGCACTCGTTTCCAGTACCCCATCACCACAGCACTCGTTTCCAATACTCCATGTTTTGTCTTACCAGCGTTGACCACAGCGGTCTCAGTGACCCGTGCTCCGGCAGAATTGGCCACGCTTACAGTATACACGTACTGTCGACCGAGAATCAAATCTTCAGAGTCACAGAAAACCTTTCGTGCTCCATCAGCCTGCAAGGCAACAGGGGGCATTCAATATTGACAGCGACAGCAGCGGAGGAGGCAACGGCATCACCAACAGCAGCAGCATCACCAGCAGCAGCATCACCAGCACCAGCAGTAACATCAGCATCACCAGCAGAAGAGCAGCACCAGCAGCACCAGAAGCAGCATCACCAGCAGCAGGAACAATCACAACAAAACACATAACAGAAACAGTTGGTGAACACAATGATTCTCAGCTGTAAACTGCACAAAGCATGACTATACGGTGGCCACAGGCAGTTAGTTTGGGGAGAGAGAGAGAGAGAGAGAGAGAGAGAGAGAGAGAGAGAGAGAGAGAGAGAGAGAGGGAGGGAGGGAGGGAGGGAGAGAGAGAGAGAGAGAGAGAGAGAGAGAGAGAGAGAGAGAGAGAGAGAGAGAGAGAGAGAGGGAGGGAGAGAGAGAGGGAGGGAGGAAGGGAGGGAGGAAGGGAGGGAGGAAGGGAGGGAGGAAGGGGGGGGGGGAGAGAGAGAGGGAGGGGAGAGAAATAGGGAAAGAGAGAGAGAAAGAGAGTAGGTCCTGAGAGAGAGAGAGAGAGAGAGAGAGAGAGAGAGAGAGAGAGAGAGAGAGAGAGAGAGAGAGAGAGAGAGAGAGAGAGAGGGTGGTTATTTCCGGTGTCTGAAACGGCACATAACGGACTCCGTGACTGAAAAAATAGTGTTATACACACTGCCACACAAACTGCCACACAAACTACCACGCACACTGCTACACGCATAGCCAAGCTCTCTTACCTGGCAGAGGTCACTGTTGCCGTCAAAAGTCTGCACCACAACGTCATCTCTATACAGAACACAGTTGGATATGGGCTCTCCTCCATCACATTGCAGTGTCCAGTACACACAGATGTTCTGTGCACGCGCCTCGGATTCCACAATAGGGGGGCATGGAACTATAGGGTACACAATACACGCACACACGCGTGCGCGCGCACACACACACGCACGCACACACACGCGTGCACGCGCACACACACACGCACACACACACACACGTGCGCACACACACACGCACGCACACACACACGCGCGTGCGCACACACACACACGCACGCACACACACGAACACAGTGTGTGGTAGAACTGCATTATACAGGGGAACCTCGCTTTCCGACCAAACTCACTATTTTGACCACTTTCACTCGGTCCCGAAATTTCCTCCATAATCGTAAATACAGGATAATAACTCTCACTAAGTAGACACTCTCAGAAATCTGATCATCTTGTCCGTCCAAAAAGCAAAGGAAACCCAAATTCTACTACACACTAGTGTGGTAGATTGCGACTATAATTTAAAGAGATAACTCGCACATTGAATGACCAGCAATGCGGTAATCATGCCGTAGTTTCAATGGCAAATCAACCAGTCATGTGGCACACTACTGAGCCACGTGGCACGCAACGTGGTCATGTGACACATGATTCGGTCACGTGACATGCAACTCGGTCATGTAATATACAACTTGGTCAAGTGACACGTAATGTGGTCATGTGACACACTACTGTAGAGGCAGAAAATTTCGTCGGTCAATAATTTCGTCCAACTCCAAAGAAAAGGAGTTCGTGCGGTTGAAAATTTCGTCCATAGATCATAAGAGGGTATAGAAACGCTGGACAAATCGATATTCGTCCTACATTAAATTTAGTCCAAAAGCTCCTTGGACGAAATTAAATTCCAGACGAATATTTCTGCTTATACAGTACTTGGTCATGTGACGCATAATGTGGTCATCTACTATAGGCAGAAAATTTCGTCGGTCAATAATTTCGTCCAACTCAAAAGAAAGGGAGTTCGCCCGGTTGTAAATTTCGTCCATGGATTATAAGGCTGTGTTTACATCAGGCGTTTCAACCCGGGTTGAGTTCGACCCGGGTCAGATTTCAACCCGCCGTGTGCACAAAATGAATGGCGCGTTTACATGACGCATTGCGCTTGACCCGGGTTGAAACCAACCCGGGTCAAGAAAATCGTACAAACGTACTTCTGTGCGTATCTCGCGCCAGGTTTGAACAGCACTGCAGATGCAAATTTCGCGCGAACGGATTCACATGACCATGCAGGACTGTAGAAGTGGACTTTTGGCGGCATATCAGTATTTGACCCGGGTCAACTGTCTTCATGTAAACGCTCACCTCTTTTGTCTATCGTACAGACTTTCAACCCGGGCTGAACTCGACCCGGGTTGAAATTTCTCATGTAAACACAGCCTAAGAGTGTATTGAAAAGCTGGACAAATCAACATTAGTCCGGCATAGTCCGGCATTTAATTTACCAAAAGCTCCTTGGACGAAAAAGACGAAATTAAATTCCAGACGAATATTTCTGCTTATACAGTACTTGGCCATGTGACACGTAATGTGGTCATGTTACACACTACTTGGTCATGTGACACACTACTTGGTCATGTGACACATAATGTGGTCATGTGACACGTAATGTGGTCATGTGACACGTAATGTGGTCATGTGACACACTACTTGGTCATGTGACACACTATTTAGTCATGTGACCAAGGACTATGCCAATTAGGCCTAGCCCAAATTTGCTCAGGGCGCTTCGATATTTTGCCGGCAAATTTTGCCCGATCACTTTCCATATTTTGCTCGGCATTGCCTTTCGTTTCCGATATTTTGCTCCATTTTGCTCCTGCTTTGTGGCAAAAATGGCTTCGAATGAACCGTCTACTTTGGTAAAAGTGAATGGTAACTCTGATGAGGAAAGTAAAACTTATAATGGTGTTAGTATTACGGATTTTGTAGCATGATTTCAAATTTATGTACCCCTGACAACCTGCACGAGCTATTTCAGCACGACGTTGGCCCAATGAAACCAAAGAAATTTGAATATAATTGCCAAAACACACCCGGATCCTCTGTAAATTCGATATTTTGCTCGGAATTTGCCAGCAATTTCTTTTCGTTGGAAATTTCGATATTTTGCTGGAAGAATTGCCGGCAAATTTGGGCTAGGCCTAATGCCAATGCAGTTCTCACCATCTGATGCTGTACTGAACACGACGGACTCAGACGCTGGTCCCAGTCCGGCAAAGTTGTCAGCAAACAGTGCACACGTATAGTCTTCTCCCGGGAACAGGCCAGTGAAGGTGTGGCGGTTGGTGGCGTTAATGGAGCTGTTGGGCTGCATGAGGGCCTGTTCTGCAGTCACATTCCTAATGGTGGTATTCACCTCCACCTGCTGGGTCAAGTTGTGCAGAATACCTGCAGACATACCCGGTACGTACGCACACGATAATGTCATCACTCAGTTTTCATCACGACTTCCCAAAGTCACTAGTGAGTCATCGTCATGGCGTCATGATGTCGCTACTAGTGGGTGAAAGGCATTAGGAATGAAACTCAAATTCCCATTTGACTTACAACACATATCACCAGAACATGCCAGGAATGTAAATGGACACCGTCTCCTGTCTAATGTCACCTTGCAAACACTCATAGCTGGCCTCCAGCAATTGCCAACTCCCGCAAAGCATTTAGAGCCTGGTGATAGGATGGTCGGACACCATGGCCACTACCAGTGTCTATGATACCATGATGTCACTCCTAAGTTATCTTCATGACATCATGATGTCACTAAGCCTGAGACTATTACATCGCCGAGTCTGACAGTACCTGTGGTAGCAGTGCAGTTGATCTGGTAATAGACGACTGGTGATCCTCCATCGTTGCTTGGTGCATGCCAGTCGAGGGTAACCTCAGAGTGTGTGTGATTCACCAGGGTCACATTAATGGGTGCACTTGGTGTATCTACCAACACAGGAAAGCACAAAAAGAGTCACATAGTATATTATGTATTATTTTTCCAATTACTCTAATTTCAGAAATTTCCGGTGCTCAATATTTTCGGTATGAGAGCAAAAAGCTAGGTTAGGTGAACAGATATTTTCGGTACAGAGAAGCTGTTCCCTATTGGGTTATGTGTGTCAGTGTTTGTTCGGTGTATTGAAATTTTAGGTATAATACAGATGCACCGAAAGTACCGAAAATAAAAGTACACCGAAAATTTGTGAAATTACAGTAACGTCCAACCCGAAACACATGAAACATCCTTGGTTACAGCATGCGAAACGATTGTACAATAAAAAAATATGTTTGGGGTCCATGCTTTGGCTGGTCACCGTTGCTTGTTCATGCTTGGTACACAGTGGTGTAGCGAGCACTATGTTGAGCTTTCAGAGCTGCCAGAACTGTCCCCTCTCTCCCAGTGTGCCCAAATTCCAAATTAGGCTCTTATTTCTTTGAAAACTTAAAAGTCAAAACTTCGATTCGCTAGTAAACATGATCTCCATCTCCACTCACTCCATGCAATACTTGGTGGGCAGCAAAATTTATTTTAAAATTTATTTAGTTGCAGTACACCAAAGCAGAGTTGGTTTCTTTATGGAGAAATGGTCTCTTTACGGAGAAACGGTCGCATTATGGAGAAACTGTTCCTTTATGGAGAAATGGTCCCTCTACGGAAACACGGTCTCTTTTCGGATGTCTTTCACATTGCATGCCTTTAATTTGTGGTGCCCATCTCAAATATGCACAACACTTGACAGTCGTACCGATGATTTCAACTCGGAGTGTAGAGTTGGTGTACCCCAGGAGGTTGAACGCGCGGCACGCAAACACTCCGGTGTGAGAGTACCGCTGCACATTCTCCACGCGGTGGTAGATAGAGACGGTGCGGTTATCCGGCAGCGTGTCAACGCTCAACAGCTGAATCTCGGTCTGAGATACGGACGCATTCACCGACTCGTTGATGAACACAATCTGAAACAAAAGCATGCAGAGAACACACAAAATGTAATGAAAAGATTTTCTGTACAGAAAAAAAGTATTACGGTACCGGTATACCGTGATGGTGGGCCAGGCCCGAAAATCTGGTGTTACGTGTAGTATAAAGTTGAATGGCAGTGAAGAGACAGTTATAACTTATTGGAGCTGAGAAGTGAAGTTTCGCAAATGTGTAAGTGGCTGCGTTGGAGTTTGCGGACAATGAGAAAAGTATTATAGTACATTGGGAAACGAGCTCTTTGGAATTTTGGTTCTAAAACTGACCAAAAGGCGTGCAATCTTCAAAACCGCACAAAGGCAGAATGTACAGAAAGGTGCTGTACAGCTCTGGCAGTTGGTACCATCACTGCGGGATCGTTTAACCCTTTGTCCTTTCGCCCATACTTGAACCGTACACCTGTGTACGGTTCAACCCACGCATGTTCAAAGCGACCTGGAAGCTACGCGGATCACCCGATCCACATGAAAATTCACGTGCACACAGCCTATGCTATGTAGAGGATGATACATGGGTCGCTGGGGCTAGTTGCCATTTGAAAAAATTCAGGAAATCAAAGTCGAAGTTTGCTTGCGCCGTAACTTCCGACATGGCAGCACGCAGGTCGCTTGATGCAGATGAAGCGCTTGTTTGAGGATAGCTGGAGTGACCCAAGCGACAATTCTATGTCCTCTGATGAAGAGAACGAACTGGACGAAGCCTTAGTTGAAGGTGTTGATTCTGATTTTGATGACGACGCGGATTATGATGTCGTAACCGTCGACCCAACTGTCGGACATGTCGACCGCTCCGATTTGAGCGCAGGATCGGCAGAACAGCACTCGAGTGGTGAAGAGAGTGTACCACCGCCGTGTCTTACCCGTCGTGGAGCAGCAGGGTCAGCTAGAATGCCGCAGCACGTGGAGCGGGAGCGTAGTCCGATCCCAGAGAGGTCCCGATCTCCGTCACCTGCGCGCCGTCAAACTCATGGTCGACAGCCGCACAGAGCGAGGAGAGTAGCCGCACGGGGCCGCCATGTCGAGCATGTCGCCACTGGCGCTCCTCTGGCTAATGCTCCGTGTTTGCCCAACATGCCAGGGGTGCTACTGCAGGTCATACTTGTACAAATTGCACATTATTATACATAGGAAAGAACTTGAACTTAGAATTTTGCCGATTTTTGCCAAAAAATCATTTTGATACTCTTGTTTAGCCACGCCTATCTGAGGAATTCAACCCAAACTGCATTTTTAGTTCACAATTATCATAAGCTTTCAGGAAAACATAAAGTGTACATACAAAATATCAGCTGCTTGCGTATGGCGAGTGGATTTGTTGAAGCAGGTACCCCTCACATACATTTTGGGCAAAAGGACAAAGGGTTAAAGGATGTCTTACCTCCATGCGTGTGACATTCGGCCTTGCATTGGCATAGCAGGACAAGTTCAAGTCAGAGCCGGACACAATCCTTCCCATAGAGAGAGACGCCGACGCGATGTTCACTTCAGGTGGATCTAAAGCCGATAAATTTCATTCACCGTAGACATTCGTTAATCAGGCAGATCGGCAAGTATGGGTGAAATATGATCTTAAAAGCATCATAGTGACATTATAACATCATAACAAGGTCATAACGGCATTATACATGTAACGTCATCATAACGACGTTGTGGCTTGGAATACAACAAGGCCAGTTGAATCAAATCTGTCAATGCCAACCCCGAAGAGGACAGAGTTTTACCCAGTGACAGAAGAAAATCAGATCAGATCAATCTTCCACGGACTTCTTTTTGCCTAACTGCACTCTACCTCGTTGTAGGGGGGGGGGGGGGGGCGCGGGCAAGCATCACTCCTTTTGAAAATCATACATTTGCCTTGGAGAGTCCTTGAATTAAAATGACAATACTGTAAAACGGGAACATTTCGGCGGAGGTTTATTTTCGGTAACGTTGGTACAGGTAACTCCTACCTAGAATAAAATTACAAAACGCACCGAAAATATACATGCATACATTGCACTACGGAAAACTGGTTTACCAAATTTTTCGCGCTACCGAACCGTTGATTTTGGGAAATACCAAACATTTTTGACCACCGAAAATTCCCGATTTTATTCGTCAGGTTGATTTACCCTGGAGACAACGTCCCTTGCATAATATGAGAACCTACTCATTGCGGCGGACAGCAAAATGGCCAGCAAAACAGCATACCCCATGCAGAACATGCGTTTTGCACAAGTACACGACATTGCTGTACCTTTTGTGCACACGCATGAAAAATCGTTGCCATGGAATTTGTACCCAATAGGCAAGTGTACGACACATAATCTTATCTAGAATGTATTCACTGTTGGTGTAAGAGCAACACCACCACCGCCAAGGAGCGAGGCCCAAATGTAGCTCCTAAAACTTCATATCCAAGTCCGAATGAAACGACTCTCATTACAATAAAACTGCCCAGATCCGGGCGCCCATAATCTGGGCACGTCTATCTACCGGGCACCTTTCTGACCCACATACAGTCACAAAAAGGCCGTTTCGAACGAAAAAATGGCCCCCTTGAAACTATCAGTTGGAATATTTGTTTACTTGCTGCAATGCAAGTTCTGAGTCACGGTCAATTCCTAGTTGCGGGCAGTGCTCCGTCCCAACCTGCCGGCCTATGGCAGTGCTCCGTCCCAACCTGCCCTATGGCAGTGCTCCGTCCCTACCTGCGGGCAGTGCTCCGTCCCAACCTGCAGCCCTATGGGGAAATTTACTGTACGAGAGAGCTTGGAAGCTCAGGGCCCTGCGCTATGCTTTTATGCTTTTTTGCCTAGCTCATCGTACATGTTATAAGACTGATGGGAATGTCTTTTTCGTTGATTGGCCACATCACTGTATTGCGAAAACGTTTCAATCGGTTTGCTTATGAGTTAGGCAAAAGTATTTGCAGAATTTATTGCGGATTGTTATTTCTCTAATAATCATCTACTTTTGTTTTGCTCCTTCTTTTCTTTTTATCTCCTTATATTGTAAATCTACAAATTTTGGCCGATGACAAATAGAAACCTCTCTATTAGAGAGGTTAAGATGCACGTTATTTCCGACGTGACGCGCAGTTTCACGTCAAATTTGAAATCGATAGGTATTTTTGCTCTCACATGCATCCATTGCTCAATCATGCATCATTTGCCTATATGACAAACGTTGGCCTGCGATTTACTTTGGCCGGTTGGTACCAAGCGGCGAAATCAGCGAAATTAAATCGCCAACGAACATTAGTTGATTTTAATACAGTGATCGGATTTTCTGGCCTTTTTGTAGTAATACATGTACATTGACCTGTTGAGCCAAGGACGCCGCCGAATGCATGGTTGCCTGTGGAGCACATCACATAACTTTACAGTCTCCTAAAATACGTATCCTGTCCGACGGCAAAAGAGGCTGCAGATTTAGTTTTTCTGCGCGTCGACGGGATGTCTGCGACGCGAAAGTTCAGCTCGCGTTATTTGGCTCGCACGTCGAAAAATCAACGCGAGTGACCTGCTGCTCACGTCGAAATTTGGACATAACATAAATTTACAGTCTCCTATATAAATACGTATTCTGTTCGACGGCAAAAGAGGCTGCAGATTTAGTTTTTCTGCACGTCGACGGGATGTCTGTCCTGACGTTTACTGGGACCGGCGCTGACTCTGCCGATCACGGGCGTTCTGGACTCGACGAGATGTCTGTCCTGACGTTTCCTGGGATCGGCTTAGACTCTGCCGATCACGGGCGTTCTGGACTCAAAGGGATGTCTGTCCTGACGTTGCCTGGTACCGCCGGACTCTACCGATCACGGGCGTTCTGGAGTCGACGGGATCTCTCTTCCGACGTTTCCTGTGACCGGCACTGAATCGCTCGTTCACGCTTATTTTGGAGACGACGGGATCTCTCTTCCAAAGTATGTTTATGCTGACGCATCCTATCACCTAATCGGCGTCTATTCTAATTTAATTTCCTCTTCGTCTCGCTATTTCTTTCCAAATCTCCCTCTACATCAGGGAGTCGTATACATAATACGACGAATATTGGTACGGTACGGGACAGATACAGGAGCCCGCAAATATTGTGGACAGCTGTTATGTACAATCCTGTAGAGCCTTTGTAGTCACAGATACGGGACAGATACGGGACAGATACGGGATAGCTCCAGCCGTGACACAAACAAACAAACACCAAATTAAAGCTGTGTGGACCCTGGCTAGCGCCAGACGTTACTGAAGTAACGTCTTCTGCATAGCTACGGGAATAATTATATATACCTCACTCCATATACACTTACAGTATTAGGCATGCTCTCCCTTAGTGGTGTATATATCTCCATATACACCGCTAAGGGGAATTAGCAGTAGTTGTCAGCGAGGAATAAGCCATTAGGAGGCCACACACGGTGAACATGGAAAGGTATAAATATATTATAACAAAGGAACCTCGTGTATATAGAGATATATACACCAGTATGAAAACCGAGGCGAAGCCGAGGTTTTTATAACTGGTGTATATATCTCGATATACACGCGGTTCCCTGTTATAATATATACATATTTTCAATCACTCAGTGCTATCCACGTACACCACTACCATGTCAAAATACCTACACAGTAACCATGTCAACACACCTACAATACACTGTAACCATGTCAACACACCTACAATACACTGTAACCATGTCAACACACCTACAATACACTGTAACCATGTCAACACACCTACAGTATACTGTAACTATGTCAACACATCTAACTGTCACACTGTAACCATGCCACAGCATACTTACACTGGACCACGACTGAACCATTGATGGACGGCACACTGCCAGCCTGCAAACACCAGACACGCCAAGCAAGCGCGGAACGTCAGAAAAGTACGACACACATCACATCACAGAAAGCGCTGCCAAAAATATCTAGGCTTGGACGTCCACCACATTTACTCTATCATCAATCAATCTCTCTCTTTTAATCATTTTGTTTGTGTCTTTCCCTCAAACCAGTGAATATCTCTTTTAACCCTTTATTACCGGATTACTTGCACAGCATGCACCAGGATTACGAATTTCAGCACAATTTCCAACTTCACCACGTCATAACTTTGGTCTCCTTCACTTGATTTTCACAATCTAGGGCTCGTTGGAAAGCTCTTGGCGAGAGGAACGCCAGGGTACCAAGCTCCATTATCCAGTCGCCACAAATCAAGCGCGGTGACACAGCAAAGTCGTCTCCAAGCCTGATATGCAAGCAAATTCGTCCCATCAACGCCATTCCACTCTCCTTCATCGTAGAACGCTCAAAATTGTATGAGACGATTCAAACGCCAGCTGACTACGCCATTATCATGTGCTTAGTCGCTCAAAGAGCACATGAAAAGGGATTTTCCCCAAAAATGGCGAAGTGATCGATCAAAAATTTGAATTTGCCGAGGTGAGAATACGGCACGCGATATCTCTGGTGTCCGACATCGTAACTCTTCGGCGATTGTTGCATTGGATAGCTTGGAGTTTCCGCTACCAAATAGATCTTTCGATTGTTGAATTCGCACAAGAAATGATGGAGTTCCGAAAATATTATTGGCCTGCAGACTTTCGATCATATATGATCGAAAGTCTGCAGGCCGGTAATAAAGGGTTAATCAGTGCACTTTAAGTGAATCTAGCACTATTGTGACCATGACATCATAACACATGCGCGTAGGATCGGCTACAGGGTGATCACAACCGAGGTTCAGTTTATACAATGTCACACAGCCTCAAACCCAGGGGAAGCGGTGGTGTCACAGTTAGAAATCCAGGACCTCAACTCAAAACCCATTGGACGTGACCATGTCATAGAAGTCCAGGATTGGACGTAACGAGGTCACAGTTACGTCAAGTCAACCACTCTAGACCCATTAATTGGACGTAATGATGAACAGGAATTACAGGATTCACGTCATGCTGCCACAGAGCCTAGCTCCTGGACCATTATTTCTAGGGTAGCTGTAGCTGCTGTACTGATATTTCTGAAAACCAGCCAGAAATCAGCCCCACGACCCGTACATTGATTTTACACTTTAGTACAAACGCAGTGTAGGTATAAGATGTGTTGTGCCATTACCGCTTGAGAACTGCCTTTCGCAATGCTCGCATTCATGATGGCAGTTGTTCCTGGCTGCACGTGACATCCGTTTCGCACGGTCACAGTGATGACGGCTCAAACCACACACACACACACACACACACACACACACACACACACACACACACACACACACACACACACACACACACACACACACAAACACACACACACACACACACACACACACACACACACACACACACACACACACATACACACACACACACAATGTACACACACACACACACCCCACACCCACCAACTTTTGTTGACCTACAGTACCCCAAATCATGTGAGCAATACCATACCTCATTCGAGATGCTGCAGACGTAGATGCCGGACTGGTTTCTGATCCTGGGGACCATGAGTTGATCGGTGGTCCTCGTCACGACATCACCACCTTCATAATATATTCTCCATTCACCCGTGGGTTCCGGGGTCGCCATTTGATCCGAAATACACTCTAGGGTGACGTACTCGCCGGCAGATTCATTCACCGTTGTACTGGGCGGAGGGAAGCGGAGGACCGCCACTGGCGCAACTAAGATTTGAAGAAACACGCAAAACATACAATTTTACAATACTGAAGTAAACCCTGGTAATACCTGAGAACGGGTTTATTCACAACATTAATCGCGTAAAACCATGAAGTAAAAACCAAAGAAAGAAGTTTAACTCGGATGGTGAGCCAATGAAATTATGGTGAAAAAAGGAGGACAAAATGTTACGAGTTATGACTAACTGTCCACCAACGTAACCAGATCTTATACAGTCGCACTCTCCTCCTTATTTCACCAAAGAAAGAAGCCCTGCTATTACCAATGCAGTGGTTGCTTCCTGACACTACTTGGACTGAAATCCTTTCAACCCGCAGCGTTAACAGCCAAGTGTGCTCTATGACAACCTAGAACAATCTCCTTCCACCACCATGCTATGCAATGCTTACTTCACAATGTTGCGCAATTCCATGGCCCGCAACCTTACCGGCACGGATGAAGGTGATAAAAGTCCTATCCACAATGCCACCAGTACGTCTGTTGTTGCACTGGTACCGAGCGCCAAAGTCACCTGCACGAGGGGGGGGGGGGGGGGGCACAGAAAACAGAAGCAGCATTCTCAGCACCATGAAATTAGTGACAAGCACAACCGCCATCAGCGGTAGCACCATCGGAGTGTCAGCATCATCAGCACCATCGGCGGCAGCAGCACGAGGACATTTGTGCCGATGAGGTAATCACCACTACAGTACTGCTGGGCGCCGAAGAATGGAGTGCCAAAGAATGGAGTGCCGAAGAATGGAGTGCAGAAGAATGGAGTGCCGAAGAATGGAGTGCCGAAGAATGGAGTGCCGAAGAATGGAGTGCCGAAGAATGGAGCGCCGAAGAATGGAGCGCCGAAGAATGGAGCGCCGAAGAATGGAGCGCCGAAGAAGAATGGAGTGCCGAAGAATGGAGTGCCGAAGAATGGAGTGCCGAAGAATGGAGCGCCGAAGAATGGAGTGCCGAAGAATGGAGTGCCGAAGAATGGAGTGCCGAAGAATGGAGCGCCGAAGAATGGAGCGCCGAAGAATGGAGTGCCGAAGAATGGAGTGCCGAAGAATGGAGTGCCGAAGAACGACCAGCCCAGAACTTCACTAAGTACAGCCTAACAATGTATACTGGTGACTCAAGCACAGACTGTAATATATGAACATACGGTCTAGGCTAGGAACGGTCTAGGCTAGGAACGGTCTAGGCTAGGAACGGTCTAGGCTAGGAACGGTCTAGGCTAGGAGGCTGACCCTCCAGTTCTCCGGCACCCACAGTACGGTATACAGTACGGTAAGCATGGAGGCAGAAATGACATATTCCCTCTGAATACCTGCATCTCCGGCACGAAACGCAGAGGTAGAAAAGCCATTTTTTCTTTTTCTTTTTTCCTTTAATATGTTCACATTCCCATTTCCACATTCCCAGCTTGAAAATACTAAGGAAAGGCAACGTGGCCGGGCACTGAAACTAGGACAAACGTGACAACTACATTGTACGCTTATACAGAGAATTTTACGAAATCGACTTCCGATCTCAAATGGCCGAGGAAGAATTGCATGGGACCCACAGTGCAGGATATGATTTCCGCCGATTGAAGTCCTTACCCCGACTTTACTGTTCAATGGGGAAGAGCCAACATATCTGGCATAAGACGCGGCACCACTCGCACAAATTTCCACTTCAAAATACACCTACGGGGTGGCCGGTAGACTGAGGTGCCCGCAACTTAGGGGTCCGGATAAAAGATAAATGATTAACCGCCATACACGGGAGACACCAACAATCTACGGTGCCAGTTTCGGAAGAGTGGACTATAATGGATGGGAGTCAGCTTACCTCCGTTGGCTGCCACCACTCCTGGTCGTCCCGACGTCACGACTAGAACTTTGCTGAACGTGGGGTTAATGGTACGCGCGTGCACGCGTTGACTCACATCATCGGTTACCTCTTCCAGTCCATTAACAGTGATTCTGAACCACTCAATTCCAACCG